GAGCCGATACTCGGCCGGAGGCACCCGCCCAGCGCCCCGTCATCCTCCTCCCCGCGGTGTCGGTGAGGTCCCGGGGGGGGTCCCGGCACAGGATGCTCCCCGAAAACATGGGCAGCCCCGGGAGAAGTGGCGTTCAGGGAACACGGGCAGTAACGCCGGGCAGGGGAACCAAAGGGAAACGTGGTGGGGACATCAGCTCTGCTGGAGCCTTGGCAGCTGAAAGGTTCTGTGCAGGAGATCCCTCCCCCTGAAATGCATCTGGATCCCGGCTGGCTTTCCCAGGATACAAACTGGGATTTGGCAGGATTCTGTTGGAGAAGCCATTTAATGTTTAAGGCAGGGACTGCTTGTTGTCTGGCAGCTTCGGCTCCACCGTTGGTGCTGGAGATGGGCACAGTGGGTGACTGTGGGGAGCTGTGCCCCGCAGGAAATCCCAGAGGAGGGAACTTTTCCTCTGGGCAGGGGAGGAAAACCACAACTGAGCTTATTACATCTTCCCTGCAACGGGCAACGCTGGTGGAAGTGGGGCAGAGGCGATGAGCTGGAGGGGGATCACCCTGCTGAGCTCTGCTCCCAGGTGTGGAACCTCAGGAGCATCCTCATCCTCCCTCCTTCGGCCGCAGCCCCTCAGTGCTGTGAGGAAGATGATGGTGGCAGGGGGACCGCAGCATTTCAGCTGGGTTTTGGTCTGTAGGCCCTATCTCTCAGAGTTATCTCCCCAGTTTGAAACCCCAGGAGGCCAACCTGGCTCTCGGGATCAGCCTTTTAAATCAGGCTGGCGGCAGACACCCCTGTGATGGCTGGAGAACAAAGGCTTCTCCCTCGCCGAGTAAACAACACCCAAACCCAGCTCCTCAAAATATGTCTTCCTCTAAATTTTTAATGCCGTTTTCATCCAACTTGCTCGTCCTGTTTCAGATGGGCTGGGCCTCGTAATTAGAAGCTCCAGCAATCTTGTGTCTGGTGAATGTCATCAATGGCTTCGCTGTGCTGCGCCCCGGCTTCTCCGAACACTGGGAAGGGTTTGGGAAGGAGCTTCTGATCAGGGAAAGTCCCCCAGGTCGGGGCCCAATTCCCTGCGGGTCTTTGTACCAGCTCAGCATGGAGAGATGCCGTCAGGGAATCGGGGTCACCGGCATAAATGGCATTTCAAAGCCTGGAAATACCCAAGATGAAGGAGTTGTGTGAAGCTTACAGACTGCTTCCTCCTCCTGCATCCATCACAGAGTGGGGGGGTGTCAGCAGCACCCCAGTGTCTGACCATCCAATCACAAAAAGGTCATGGACAGTTTTATCTTAAACTGGAAAACCCAGCAGGGACTGATGGCCATCCAAGCCTTCGGCCAGTGCTCTGAAATGAGCTCCAAAATTCATATTTATCATCCTATGTGTGTATTTACCCCATTGCTGAGGATCAGCAAGTGTTGTCCCTCTCAGCTCATTCTTGGTTTTCATGTAGGTGATGGGTAGGAGCAAAGGATTTACCATGTTTTATAACATATATATGTACAAACTCTACTGTTTTCTAGAGCCTGAGGAGGCGCCTGCTTTACCCAGCGTGGCCCAGACGGTCCCAAACTCGTACCATGCTGTGGGGACAGGCAGAAACGTGGCACCTGCCACCTAATTAACACCTTCATTACAACCACTTTTGAGGGCTGTTTTCTGTGTGGATTGGGCAGGGATGTGGTTTGATGGTACAACATCACGAACAGCTGTCAGGCCATAGCTGAGGGTGGTGGGATCTGCTGTGGAACACCTTCTACTGGTTTCACTGGTGTCCCCTGAATCGACACCCTGGGTCTCTGCTGCCTCCAGTTGTGCTAATATTTTGTGTTTATTCTGTTTGTAGTGAGAAGGAAGGAAGGTAAAGAACAGAAGCTGCAACTTGAGGTTGACGTGCATGACCCCAGCTGCCGCAGCACCGCCGTTCAGGTAAAACACATTCCACTTTTTACTATTTCCTTTAAAAACCTGTCCCATGTTCTACTGCCAGACCTTTGTGTAAGAAAAACACCAGGAAACGTTCGTGCTTTTATTGGTAGGCGTATGGAAAGGGGTTTCGCTCGGGATGGTAAGGTATGTGTTTGTCATCGATGGGGAAGGTACAGCCCGGGGTGTTTGTCCCTCCTTGTCACATGCCATGAGCCCGTTCCATGACACCGCCCCGACCCGGGCGGGTGTTGGATTCACACAATCACAGAATCTTCTAGGATGGAAGGGACCTTAAAGATCATCTTGTCCAACCGTCAACCTGACTGACAAAAATGCCCGGGCGGGTGTTGGATTCACAGAATCACAGAATCTTCTAGGTTGGAAGGGACCTTAAAGATCATCTTGTCCAACCGTCAACCTGACTGACAAAAATAGACACCCACACAACAAACAAGGAGCATCATCACTAAACCAGACCTCCCAGCACTACATCAACCCGTCTTTTGAACCCCTCCAGGGATGGGGCCTCAACCCCCTCCCTGGGCAGCCCATTCCAATGGCTGAGAACCCTTTCAGTGAAAAAATTTTTCCTAATATCCAGCCTGAACCTCCCCTGGCGCAACTTGAGGCCATTTCCTCTCGTCCTGTCGCCTGTGACTTGAGAGAAGAGACCGACCCCCACCTCTCTACACCCTCCTTTCAGGGAGTTGGAGAGAGCAATAAGGGCCCCCCTCAGCCTCCTCTTCTCCAGGCTGAACACCCCCAGCTCCCTCAGCCTCTCCTCATAAGACTTATTCTCCAGACCCCTCACCATCTTTGTTGCCCTTCTCTGGACCCGCTCCAGCACCTCAATGTCTTTTTTATGGTAGGGGGCCCAAAACTGGACACAGCACTCGAGGTGAGGCCTCACCAGTGCCCAGTACAGGGGGACAATCACGCAGATTAAGCACGGAAAGGTTTGGTCACTGGATTTCCTGGCTGCTCCGTAGCACCCAGTCGTGCTGCTTTCACCTCCCATCCACAAAGGGCCAGTTGTGCCCTGGATTTCCTGGGATCTGGCCCCAGGGGATTCCTGTCGCTGTTCCGGCTGCCGGGCGGTGTAACGTGGTGTCACTGCCTTGGGTATGACCGAGGGACAGAACTGGGCCCTTCCAAGGGCACTTTCCCTCTTTTCTCTCTGCTCTGGAAAGAAAATAGAGTGAGGGTGCAGTTGTGCAGGGACTGTACCGCTGTATTTTCAGCCCCTGGTTAGTGCAAAGGAGCGCGGAGCTCGGGGCTCCTTCCCTACACAGGAGCAGGACCCACGTAGCGCGGCAGCAGCAGGACGAGGGGAGGCTTTTCCACACATCCAGGCTCGCCCCAGGCTCCCTCAGCTGCAGCCTGGGAGCTGAACAAGGTGTTCTGCACTTCAAACGCCGCTTAGATCTAAAAATCTTATTTATTTGAATAAATAAATACAAAAATAGGAAACTCCGAATATAAAACCCGCTTGTACAAAACCTCCAAGCTTTACATTAATGCAAACATGCCACAAAGGGCCGGTTGTGCCCTGGATTTCCCGGGATCTGGCCCCAGGGGATTCCGGTGTAACGTGCTGTCACTCGCCTCGGGTATGACCGAGGGACAGAAATGGGCCCTTCCAAGGGCACTTTCCCTCTTTTCCCTCTGCTCTGGAAAGAAAATAGAGTGAGGGTGCAGTTGTGCAGGGACTGTACCGCTGTATTTTCAGCCCCTGGTTAGTGCAAATGAGCGCGGAGCTTGGGGCTCCTTCCCTGCACAGGAGCAGGACCCACGTAGTGCGGCAGCAGCAGGACGAGGGGAGGCTTTTCCACACATCCAGCCTCGCCCCAGGCTCCCTCAGCTGCAGCCTGGGAGCTGAACCAGACGTTCTGCACTTCAAACGCCGCTTAGATCTAAAAATCTTATTTATTTGAATAAATAAATACAAAAATAGGAAACTCCGAATATAAAACCCGCTTGTACAAAACCTCCAAGCTTTACATTAATGCAAACATATTTTTGATTGAGGAAAAAACCCTGAAATTGCACAGCTTTTCATTTAAAAGACAAGGCTTGAATGTAGTCATAGTCAATGTAGATATGGTGTAGGGGAGGACTTTGTAGAGTAGGGGAGATGGTTGGACTCGATGATCCCAAGGGTCTCTTCCAACCTGAATGATTCTGATTCTATGATTTTTGCATTATCGTGGAAACTAACATGTTTAACACCAAACAGAAATACATCCAACCACATTCTGTCAGACTCTTAAACAGGATGGAAGGGTGAGGGAAGGGTGAATGTTTCTGCTCATTTTAAGGCCACCCTATTGAAGCAGACACGCTCCCACGCTGCTTCTGCCTTTGGCCGCCACGTCAGTGGGACCCATCTGCCCAAACGCTGTCGCTGGGCTCTCACAAAACACACAAAACTCAATTCCACTCTGTCCCGCCGGGAGAAATCAGGTTCTGCCCTACTAACGGCAGGGAAATTACCAGAGGGGGCCAGGAACACAAATGAGAGCAGGCGAGGAGCGGTGCCCTCCCCCGGGACCGCGGCGGTGGCCAGGCAGGAACGAGTCGGCACACGTCGGCCTCATTCCTTTCTGTGTCACTCGGGTTGGACGGTGCCACGAGGCCATGAAAACCCACATCATCTCGATGCCACCCAGCCAGACGGTGTGCCAGCTCCTGTTCTGCATTGGGAATGAGTAATTAGCATCGGTCCTTGATGAAAACCAGGGCATTGAGTGCTTTTGCTGAATCATCTCTCGCCCATAATTCATAGAATCATAGAATCATTGAGGTTGGAAGAGACCCTTGGGATCATCGAGTCCAACCATCTCCCCTACTCTACAAAGTCCTCCCCTACACCATGTCCCTCAGCACTGCATCTAAACGGCCCTTAAACACAGCCAGGGATGGGGACTCCACCCCCTCCCTGGGCAGCCTGTTCCAATGCCCGACCACTCTTTCGGTGAAAAATTCCTTCCTAATGTTCAATCTAAACCCACCCTGTTGGAGCTTGAAGCCGTTCCCTCTCGTTCTGTCACTAATTACCTGTGAGAAGAGACCAGCACCAACCTCTCTACAGGGTCCTTTCCCGTAGTTGTAGAGGGTGATGAGGTCTCCCCTCAGCCTCCTCTTCCTCATACTAAACAGCCCCAGCTCCTTCAGCCGCTCCTCATATGGAGCTGAAGAGATAGCGAAACAGGGCTGCGAGGCAGGGGGTTGTACCCACCATTCCGGGACATCTCTGCCCCTCAAACATTTGTACTTTCAACTGAGAAAAGTTTTACAGGAGTTTGATATGCAAAAGAATTAAATATTTGAAGTGTAAGCCCACTCTCGATAGAAGAAATGTGTTGAAAACACGCTGACAAGCACTAGGGCTCAGCTGACAAAGGCAGCAATGGCCATGACCTTTAGTAGGGACTCCAGCCCGTAGGTGCAGAGCAGCACGGTGTTCAGAAGGACGTCTGCCCACAGCACATAGGTTTGCCACACCAGGAAATACACCGCCAGAATCACACTCCCCACCGTGAGGGCCAGGCTCAGCCCCAACGGAGCCTCTTCTTCTGTCAGGTTCCCCTTCGAACCTCCAAGGAAACAAAAAAACTGATGTGAGTCTCGGATTTCTCCTGACCGTATCACACATTCCTGCTCAGAAAAGGCTCTAGTTCTCCCAGCTCAGAGTACACCGAATCCTGACCCAAAGCTCTGGCAGTAAATGTAGGAACAAACCCCAACCCCGACAGACAACGGGGTTTCTTGCTGACTGGAGTTAATGTAAAGACCAATCAGTTGACACTGGGAGCCAGGAGGCCTTTTCTTACCACAGATAAGGGGTTCTGAAACTGCAATCCTTCTCATCGCTCAGCTGCTTAGTCAACCATCACATTTTCCCCCCGTGCCCCCCAGCACTTGGTGTGACAGCTCGGTGCCTGCGGCGCACGCCTCAGAGCATCCCATCCTCATTGCAAAATCTCATGCAGTATCGAATCTCCTCTGCTCCCTGCTCATCTATTCCTATCCCAAATTACTATCACGGTGGAGAAGCTCCACCTCTCTCTTCCCTGCATCTTATTTCCAAGCTGGTCTCAGTAGATTTGGCTGTTTAACCACCTTAGACCTGAAACTCCCTTCTTTATTCCCCCGCCAGGCTCCGAGCAAACACAGGCAGAGCTTGAAGGCAGCAGGTTAAATTCCTCCCTCCAGCAACTCAGCTGGAGCCAGCAGAGACCCACCTTCTGTAAATGTCTTGGGAATATCGAGCACAGCTTTTAATACTAACTTGTTTTTCTGAAAAAAAAGGACTTTATGAAGTTTTAGCAAGCTCTGGACAGCGGGGAAGAGGCCCTCGATGCTATTGTCTCAGGGAAAGGAAGGTGTTGGGACTGGCAGAAGGGGGACAGGGAAAGGTGGTGACCCGTGGCAGGTTTGGTTCCTCGTGGTCATTGCTGCAGTGGTTGGAGGGAGCCCAGTGAAGGGAAATGTCAGTGTTTCAGCGTGTTCATTCTCCTGAGTCCTGCTCCCCTGCAACCAGCACCCCAGCTCTCCCAGTTACAGTGCTTTCTGACCACCCAGCTACTGGTTTTTAATGGCATTAGAGATTCTATTTCCTATGACAGCAAATTCTCTTTGACCCTCTGGCCAAATCTCTCAATCAGTCACATACAGTCTAATGACATAAACGAACAACAGCCTCCAAATATCTGCTGGTTCACTAAACTGGCACCTTTTGACACACACACACTCGATTTCAAAATGATTAATGCTTAAAGATTATATTCTACTGAAATGGAATTACATCCAGGGTGGTGAGATGACATACCCAAGTATAATCGGAGCGCTTCCAGAATGGCCATAATGAAAAGCAGCACAAGATCAGGAGCCAGAAAATCATCTGGGTAACTGAAAACTTCACCTGTGGAATAACACAGTGTAAACAAGGCAGGAAAACACGGCCCAAACCACAACCCTGTGGTAAGCACACAGTCTATCCTCTGTTAGAAAACGCACAACTTACTTTTATAAACAATCATGGCAAGAGTTGCCAAGAAGTAAAAGACGTAATAAATGCCATTTAGATAAAAGAGGATCTGTAAGGGAAGAGAGGACAGCTGGTGGCTGGTGTTAAGGATTTCTCAGAGCGGTGAGGTGGGATCTGTTTCAGAAACTCATCATTTCCCAGGAACCTCAAAACATATGGCTCTGCCTTTTTATACTAAATGGTTCGACTCTGCCCGGCCTGAACTGGGAAGGGTTCAGAAAGTAACTCCAGATTGCTAATACCAGAGTTGGGATAAAAGTTTCCTGTTTCAGGGTTGGCTTTAGTTTATTTAAAAAAAACCCCACACTTCTTTGGGCTGTAGTGGGGCATTCGTTAGGCTGAGGAAATGAGGGGGGAGGGTGTGTGTACACATTTCCCCTAAGGACTTCTATAGCTGTTAGTCAGCCTGGAGTAAGCTGCCGGAGGGTGGGCAGCCTCCAATACACCAAATTCCTGTGAAGTTTGGGCAAAGGGGAGGCTCTGTGCAGCAGACAGGCCCCGTCACTGCCCACACGATGGAAACTCTGCAAGCTTTGCTCTGTGACGTGCCTGAGAAAGGCCCCCAGCTCAGCTTTGAGATGTAAATCCCTAACAAACAGGCTTCCTTAAGTCACTGCTCACAAAACTGACTTGTGTGCTACACAATATTTAGCTCTAGTTCTGCGTCTGTCAACGTGGATCCCCTGCCAAGGTATTTGAGAGTTCCACAATCCTCAGTACCTCCTCAAAATGCCCCCCAAGGACAGGGAATAGGGCACAGTTGTGCAAATAGGGAGAGATGACTTGCAGGCTGAGGACAGACTCAGCTGGAGCCATCCCAGTGTCACACATCTACTGGGAATTACTCACTCGTGCTCCCCCAGGAGTCAGCAGAGAAGGGAACCTTCCAGCCAAGCAGCTCCAAGCAGGGGGAGTGAACTGGGAGTGTTAAACAGGGCCAGCTCCCACTCTGACTGCAACCAGGGCTGAAATGCTGGATTTAGAGGACAACAACAGCTGGTTGTCAGGAGCAGGTATCCACAGATGGAAGGAATCATGCTCTTGAGGCACAGCAGCACATTATTAATGCAATGTAGGAGACACATGTAGGACATCCCAGGGCTTCACTGCATGGAGAAGCTGGAATGTGGCTCCAAGAATCCAGAAAGTTTGGCCATTCTTAGGTATTTTTGATAACCAGATGATACCAAATGCCTTTTTCGGCCTTAAATAACGCAATATAATTTATATAAGGAAGGTACCAGTGCAGATTTCATTATTTCCACATCTTTCTATACTCAAAATGTTTCCCCTCCCTTCTCTCCCCCAGCACTTCTCAAATCCTGATTATCTCCAGGCAGGGATTTCATCTCCAGGCAGGTGTCTTTTCCAGGAACTGCCCATGCAGTTTCTGAAGGCAGCACCCACGCCCACACGGGACCTATTCCAGTTCCCAGAGCGGCTCAGATTATTCAAACAGAACCAGGTTTTTGTGTTTTTCCAGTTGAAGGAAGGTGGAGCAAAAAAAATTACTAGATAGGTTCTAAGCATGGAAATCTCTGAAGCCCAGGGTGTCTCCTCTTAGGAGGTTACTTAGATCTTGGCAGGAGTAAAGGCGGTGTGAATTAACATGAGAGAAGAGGAAATACTACTGAAAGCTGCTTTTACTGCCTTTTGTCGCTGTGTCAGCTGTCTGTGAGCTCTCCTGCATGGGGCCTCTGCCCATCAGGCCACAAACCCAATTTTTAGCCTCGTTTCCTAAGGAAATGAGAGTTATTTGACCATAAAATGCAGCTGCCAGCCCTTGGTCAAGACTGCAGGGAGGGTTCAAGGGGTTTGTGCATGAGTGGGAGAGGATCAGGGCACAATCTCAGCAAAATGTTGCAAAAACACGCTGCAAAGAAATAATGTTTTACTGGTTTTGCTTCCTATGGGTGGTGCTGATGATGGAAAACTCCAAGAATAACACAAAAATAGCACTGGGCAGATTTATTAGGCGGGAAGATGTGCATGCACTTCAGCCAGTCTTCCTGAAGATTCCCGCACCTCAGAGGTGAAAGGTACCAAAAGGATACAACTGATGAAGTTCCTCCTTTCCGTTGAGAAGGAAAAAATAAAGAGAAGAAAATCAGTCTAAATATTTACCAAAAATGCTGCAGAAAGATTCAAACAACTGATATCACTACAGAAGTACAGCACACTTACAGAATTTTTTTTCTCAGTCACTGGAAGACTTACTATTTTCTCAGACCGTGCAGTTCAGGTTCCAAAAATAACTTTTTCAAATACGTGAATTCTAAAGTAAATTGGGGGAAATCCCTGATGTGAAAAGTCACTTTCACTGAGCAACCCTTCTCTTTCAAAACTTGAAAGTACGCAGTCATTGCCTAGAACTTGTTTATCCTGTCCTTTCACAGCAGATGACATTCATCCCTCTAACTATGCAGGAAGAAGGGAACCAGAGGGGACCATTTGGTTTTAAATTGTGAGAAAGCGTTTGCGTAGAACACAGGGCTCCCCGGCTCCTCTAAATAACATCCTTCCAAACCGGTTCCCTTCAAAAGCAAACTCATTCTATGTAAAACCTTAATTTGTTCTGATCACCCACAGAAATCATACAGAATGTTTTCTATGGGCTAACCAATGTATTTTACTTTTTCCTCCTTTTTTTCTGCAAAGCCAGATGAAATTCCCTTGGAATATGATGGCACTGACCAAATACAGTCCCTCTTAAGTAACTCATTAATATTCTTAGCCTCTTTCAGACACATGAGGAATTGAAAAGTTTCAATCTGTGTTTCAGGGAGAGCAAAACTGACTGTAAAAGGCCGTTTCATCCATCTTCTCGGAGACATCTCATTATCATCAATTCAGTGGGACGTACTCACCTCACCATCGTCATCCCTGGGCTTCTCCAGGTTAACGTCCTCATCACCTAATAGTTTATGCAGTTGGGCCCAAATTAATCCCCACTAACTTTAGGCACCTAATTAAAGTATCCAATTTGGGAACGCAGTGGAAATAGGCAAGCAATTTGAGGTGGTGATTCATCCTGGCCGTGATGTGAAACACCTCCTGGCCGTGCTGCTTCTCCTCTCCACTTTCTGTAAGGGCTCCTAACAGACTCATCCCTTCACGTAGCCAAAATGCCTTTTGATGAATGCTTGCTTTCTTTCTGCAGAATGGGAGTTAAAGGCTTCATTACACATCTTGTTCTGCAGTGACTAATGGTTAAAGATGTGCATTTATGCCCCGGTATAAACCCTCATGTGAAAGTAAAGCCCTGTGTTAAAATAATGTGCTTCCTTCCTCCCACAGCCATAAGGAGATTGTCTCCATTTTAAAGTGATTTTAGCCAGTGAAGTAGGGTGTTAATTTGAAATACCCCAACTGCATGTGCAGACGTGTTATTATTCCACAAGAAGCATCTGGATATGAACTTTTTCTGTGTAACCAAACACTAAGCTACACCCCTGCAGCCTCATCCCTGCTGGGCAGCTCCGGGATGCCAGTGGTATAATTAGAGTAGCACGATTTTATCGTAGAGGGGAATTCCCTCAGGGCACTTCCCCAACTTTATTTTTATTTTAAAGCATTTTCCGCAAGAGGGCACTGACCACATTCCTGCATCTGTTTGTTCCCTGGATGTGTTTGATGGTGACCATTCTTTAGCAGATGCTGCCTCCCACTGAGCAACAGGGGACATTTCATGCCGGTTAAACACACCTATCCCCGTGAATGGGATACTGCAGTTAAGGAGCAATTATTATGGCAGCGGAATATATAATTTCAGGTGTAACAGCAGGCTGCTAATGCCAGCACCCTGAGATCCTCTCACTGCTAGGATTAATGAAGTCTGCATTGCTGCTGGGGGATTTTTAAATTGAAAAGTGAGCACTCTGACACAGGAAAAAAAAAAAGAAAACCCAACAATTTTAAAGCATTTCTATGATGCACACAAACTTGCAGCAGCAAGAGCATCCTGCTAAGGGGGGCATTCATGTTAGAGAGACTTGGCATAGTGACTTTTTCCCTCAAGCACAGGTTGGCACCCGATTTCTGCCTGTTGGAAACCTTGTATTGTCCAGAAGAAAAAAAAGTGTAACCCCACTTGTTTTCAGCTGTATCAGTTGTGTAATGCAGGAGGGTCACTCCCAGGCAACAAGGTGTTTGCACTTGGGATGAGTATGGATTGTGAACCTGAGCCGGGGTGCAATGTTTGACCTCTTTGAAAGAGTGACAGGATGTGGGGGAACAGTTTTAAGCTGAAAGAGGGGAGATTGAGAACTGGGGAAGAACTTGTTTGGTGTGAGGGTGGTGAGAGCCTGGCCCAGGTTGCCCCGAGAAGCTGTGGCTGCCCCATCCCTGGAGGGGTTCAAGGGCAGGTTGGAGGGGGCTTGGAGCAACCTGGTGTGGTGGGAGGTGTCCCTGCCCAGGGCAGGGGGGGGCACTGCGGGGGGGGCGTCAGGTCCCTTCTAACCCAAACCATTCTATGGTTCTACGATTAATCATTTTGACGCTGCTAATGAGCTGGAAGAACTTCCCCCCCCCCGAATCCCAGTGTTTCACAATTTGGACAAAGACTTGAATTTTCAAGAGGCTCCACTAGGCCTCAGGAAAGCGATTTGCCAGTGGATAAAGGTGCTCCTCGGCCTGCACCAGCGCCAAGCCCCTGCTCATGCCGAGAGAGGGCCCGCAGCTGCCGGGACTCCCCTCAACGTGTCGGGGCTGTCGCGATATGCCCATCGGGCTGGGCTCAGCGCCGAGGCCTAGCTCCACCTCGGCCCCACCTCGCCTCTCCCCGTGTGTCCCACCCCCCGCCTGAGGAGGAGAGAGTAAACCTCGAACACGGTGGGATACAGCCACCCCTGGTCACCCACCGGGACACGGCGACGGGGAGAAGAAAGTGCTGTCGGTATCGATGGCAACGCGCCGCTCCCCTCGCCTCACGACGGCCATGGCGGCGCCCCGCCCCCGCCGGTCCTCCAGCGTCCCGGCAGCCTTTGCGCCACGGCCCCTCCCTCCCCTCTGCCTTCGGGTGCGATCGGAGCGCTCGGCCCGGTTCGGCCGCTTTCGGGCGTATTCGGGCTCTGCCCGTTCGGGCCGACGAAAGGGAATTCGGGAGCGATCGGAACAGACTCGGCACAGTTCGGCTCCTCCCGCGTCCGCCTCAGCCGCCTTCGGGCACTATCGGAAAAGGACTCGAGCGAGCTCGGGATTCTTCGACCCGCCGGGCCGGGCCGCTTCGGGGACTCGGCCCCGTTCGGGCGGGCTCGGGCTCCCCGCCCGATCTGTCAGGTACCGCTTCGGGCCGCGTTCCGGCGGGCTCGGCTCGGCCGCCTCCCGCCTTGGGATTGGCCAGCCGGCGGGGAACCATCGGACGCGGCCTGCAAAGGCTCGGGACACTTCGGGTACCATCGGAAACGGTTCGGAAACGCTCGATTCCGCCCGGGAAGCACCTTCGGAACCGCTCGGGCCAGCTCGGCACCGCTCGGCCGCCCGCCTAAAAGCGCTCGAGTGACCTCTGGGAACGCTGTGTCGCCCCCCCCCACCCGCGACCCTCCTCAGCGTAGGCCGACGGGGAAGCGGCCGGCGCCGGGGCCCGCTCGGGCGGGCTCGGTTCCCCTCTGCCCGCCTCGGATGGAGGACGCCGACTCGTCGGCGAAGCAACTGGGCTTAGCGGAGGCGGCGGCCGCAGTGGCGGCAGCGGCCGCGGAAGGACCCAAGCAGCAGCAGCAGCAGCCGCCGCCGCAATTGGTGGCCACGAAGGCGGAGCCGGAGGCCTCGGAGGAGGAGGCGGCGGCGGTGACAGTGATGGCGGCAGAGCCCTTGCCCAGCGCCGACGAGGCCGCCGCCGCCTTCGCAGGTCAGGGCGGGCGGAGCGCGCATGCGCAGCCCCCCCTCAGCCCCGCCGCCTCAGCGCCGCCCGCACCCCCTCAGGGCCCGTCCTGGCCTTTTCGCCCCAAAAAAACCACCCCGGCTTTCGGGGATGGGGCCGGCACCACCGGCCCTTGGCTCCCGGAGCCATCTCCCTCCGGGGGTGCTGCGGAGACGGGGCAGGTCCCCGCGGCGGGCTGAGGGGCTCCCCACACGCACAACATCCCGCTCCCCTCAGCGTTACACGGCACAGCCCGAAGGCAAACGAGCGAGAGCTGCCTGTGTGCATCCAAAAGTACTTTGGCCCTGTGTCCCCTTAACAAAGTGCCCTGAAACATGCCCAATTTTGAAGGCAAGCTCTCTCGATAGGGCGGCAGGAGGTTGGAAAGGGATGATCTTGAAGGCCCCTTCCAGCCTAAACCATTCTATCATTCCATTTGAGGATAAATTTCAGAGCCCTTTGTACCTCGATTGGCATCTTGATAGGAGTGTTTTTTCACTCTTAGCCCATGTGTGGCACTGACAAACCCCTGCTTTTTCGTGAGGCAGTCAAACAGGAAAGAAATCATAGAAATGTTTGGCTGGAAGTTTGGGCTGTTTCTAACTGGCCCAAGCAGGCAGGTAATGGCACCCTAGAAATGAATATTCAGCAGAGTCAGTTCTCTTTATCTTGGTGTTTGCCAGTCACCTCTCTTTTAATAAAAGCATCACAGTTTGGTGGGTTTTTTTAGTACAGATGCAATACCCCATTTTCCCCTTCGTTCATCACATGCTGATAACTATTGTTAAGGTCTCAAGGAGGTTAAAGCACGTTCAACCCAAAGCTTAATAAAAATCAGAATGATTGTGTTTGTAACAGAGGTGCCATGAGAAATGAAATTAATTTTGAACGGGAAGGGAAAAGGAAATGTAGTTCTATTTTTTGCTGTTTAGCTGTTGATCTCTGGATGCAGCAGAGCGTTACCTTCAGGTTTGTTTTACATTTCAGAAGTCACCACCGTGACAGTAGCCAACGTTGGTGCCTCTGCAGACAATGTTTTCACTACATCCGTGGCAAATGCAGCTTCAATTTCAGGACACGTGTTGGTAAGTCTCTCATTTGAGTCCCACGTACGTTCTTAGTGCAAATGAAGAGCCTGGTCTGTGTTCGAGCTGTAGTAAAGTCAATTATGTGTTTTCATTGTAATATGCAGGCTTTCAGCCACAAAACCATTAGCTATTTTTTTTCTTCATCACTTGGAGGGTTTTTTTTACCTTCGCACCCCCATATACTCATTCTGTCATGGAACTGATGACCTGGAACATGCAACCTTTGAATTTGGGTGTCTGAAACCTCAAAAACTAACCGAATAACTGCAATACTGACAGGTGGTTTAGGGTACTTTTGAGAAGATTTGGGAGAATATTAAAACACATTGGTATTTTAACTCGTAAACTCTTTATTTCTTCTGTAGTCTGGGAGAACGGCCCTGCAGATTGGGGACAGCTTGAATACTGAAAAAGCCACTCTCATAGTGGTTCACACAGATGGCAGCATCGTGGAAACCACGGGGCTGAAGGGGCCAGCAGCACCTCTCACACCAGGTATAAGGCAATCTCTTTTCAAAGTGTTGTTCTCCCACAGGTGTCACTTCTTCTCCATTTCAATTGTGTTGCTAGGATTAAAAACCATTATGGACCTAATAGTTTGCAGCTGCCTTAAAAGGATCATTTATCCCCTCTTCACATGGTATTTCTCGTGTTTCTTGGGAGTAGAAGAATATATAATTTGTGGGGTTTTTTCCCTGTCAGAAATATATTTCCTTTTCTTATTATTTGCCCTAACCCTTGCAAATAAGCTTCTTGAAAAATCTTGCCCTGCTGCTGGGCTGTCACACCCATCTCACCCCCAAAGGCAGATGGATCATTTTAACATTGTTAATAAAAAATAGGAGTCTCCTAATTGGAGTTCTGTTTGAGTCTCCTAAGTGGGTTCTTAGGAGTCTCCCAAGTGACCCCTTTTAAAGGATCCTTCAATATAGTTTTATTTCCTTTGAGGCCACTCGCTGATATTTAAATGTGGCAATAGCTGGGGTCTTTAGTGCTGAGGTTTTGTTCGTGGCTGCTTGGCAGTTTCCACCTCCAGGATGGCACGGCAAACCTTCTGCTGTCTAAAACACAATGCATTTTGCTTTGTTTTCAGACATTTTCAGAATGCTCAAGCTGAATTGTTTGTGGTGCACTGCGGTGTCAGCTGCTCCCGTTAACCGCTTGACGTTGCTGCCAGGCTGAGCCTGTGCAGGTGGAGCCAATGTGCTTTCTTGTTGCTGTCACCTTTCTTATATATGTAATTTTTTTTCATTTTTTTTTTTTCAAAGGACCGCAATCTCCTCCTACCCCTTTAACATCTGTCCAAGAGAAAACTGGAACCAAGTATAACTGGGACCCATCCGTGTATGAGAACGAGCTCCCGGTGCGGTGCCGGAATATCAGTGGGATTCTGTATAAAAACAGACTCGGCTCAGGTAACCACAGCCTCCTTGGGTGAGGAAGGGTGGCAGCTCCTCCTTCACTCGGTCTACTCTTCTTTTAATCAGCCCGCTTTTAAGGATAAGGAAAAAGAAAAGACAGTTTCTAGCCAGCCCAGTCCCTTTGGATATTATTATTCTCTTCCGTTTTGCTTTTTCTTCAGAGGCTTTTAAACTTTTCTTAAACCTGTGAAGGTACAGGCTGCTGTGCAGCGGGTCTCCCCGGTAATACTTGACTCCTCTAACATTCTTTTTGTCTCAGAAGTAGCCCCGTGTTTCTCCAAAGCTCTAAAGAATCCCTGCTGGGGTGGAAAATAGAGAGTTTGTCTCCTAATGGGATTCTTTCGCCGCCTTAGTCCTTCCTCTTCTCTTTTATCTCTGTGGGAAAGCTGCAGAAGTGGCAGCAGGAATTGTCCCCAAGCCTGACTGCGTGGCACAGCGCATGCGTCGTGGATAGAGAGTTTTCTTTACGACCAGAAGAATTAGAAATTTAAGTGCAACTTAAGGAAGGGCTTAAATTCATCGTGTTTATCTGAGAAAGACTTATCTTTCTTGTGAATGGGTAATTTTTTCTGGTCTTTGGATGGTGTGGCCCAAAGTTGGAGCTTTCTAAACTTGCACAGCCATTGGCCCAGCCAAGATAATAAATGGGGATGGTTATCCCAGAGCGGGGAGAAGGAGCAGATGGGTGTATTTGGCGATTGCTGTAGATTAACTGCTGTTTTCTCCAGCAATTTCAATATTTACTTCTCTAGGAAAGCAACAAAACGATTCTTAACCTTTACTAACAATTCCTTTCTTCCGTTTCCTTTCAGGAGGCCGTGGGAGGTGCATTAAGCAAGGGGACAACTGGTACAGCCCCACTGAATTTGAAGCGATGGCGGGGCGAGCCAGCAGCAAAGACTGGAAGAGGAGCATCCGCTACGCGGGGAGGCCCCTGCAGTGCCTTATTCACGTACGGTTACACTGGCTTCCTCCTTGCTGCTGGAGGGGACAGGGAGAGCCCGGCCAGAGTCTGCTGGGCAAACCGTGTGTGTGCCACTGAGGTGGGGCCGTGGGGCAACTCAGAAGCAAAGCTTTGATTTGGTTGAGAATCGGGGATGAGAGAGGAGTGCCCCTGTACTGGGCACTGGTGAGGCCTCACCTTGAGGGCTGTGTCCAGTTTTGGGCCCCCTACCATAAAAAAGACATTGAGGGGCTGGAGCGGGTCCAGAGAAGGGCAACAAAGCTGGTGAGGGGTCTGGAGCACAAGTCTTATGAGGAGAGGCTGAGGGAGCTGGGGGTGTTCAGCCTGGAGAAGAGGAGGCCGAGGGGAGACCTTCTTGCTCTCTCCAACTCCCTGAAAGGAGGGTGTAGAGAGGTGGGGGTCGGTCTCTTCTCCCAAGTCACAGGCGACAGGACAAGAGGAAATGGCCTCAAGTTGCGCCAGGGGAGGTTCAGGCTGGATATTAGGAAACATTTTTTCACTGAAAGGGTTCTCAGCCATTGGAATGGGCTGCCCAGGGAGGTGGTTGAGGCCCCATCCCTGGAGGTGTTCAAAAGACGGGTTGATGTAGTGCTGGGAGGTCTGGTTTAGTGATGATGCTCCTTGTTTGTTGTGTGGGTGTCTATTTTTGTCAGTCAGGTTGACGGTTGGACAAGATGATCTTTAAGGTCCCTTCCAACCTAGAAGATTCTGTGATTCTGTGATTTTTCCAGATGTGTTTTCAAATAACATGATTTGAGTCTTGAGCTGTATCGCAGGAACTGAGAAATAAGCTCTAACTCATGATACTGTAACTCAATAACCTGATCTGCTTAATTCAGTTTTCCTGACAAACATGCTCTTCATTTCCACCATTTATTGAGTATCACTTTGGGTCCTTTATTTCCTGCAGTGCCCAGGAGCCTCATGGAGAAATGGCATTGCCGTTAGGTTGGCAGTTGATTTCTGTTTGGGCAGAAACTTTTATAAAGTCTCAAATTCACATGTTTTTTGACTTGAAAATCATTCTTCCTTCGCTCTCAGCCCGTCGCTATGATGCGGGGGCTCTCTGTTGCTGCAGGGGGGGAGGGAATGGCTGCATCTCTCTGGGAACTGCCTCAATCTTTCAGCAGAACAGCCTCCTGCTCTCAGTGGTTTTGGTGACTCACGCCGAACTAGTAATCTTCTAATTTCAGGATGGGATTTTAAATCCTCACGCCGCCTCGTGTACTTGTGCTGCCTGCTGTGACGACATGACTCTGGTGAGTTGTAGGTTTTAGATCCATTCGTTTTAAAACAATTAGGCAGCCAAGCTGCCACAGCCGTTTGCGAGCGGGTTATGAGTGTCCTAGAAATGTTCAGGTTGCAGCGTCTACGCTGCATAAAGAGATGAGATCAGGAACTGCTGCTATTGCGTAGCAGCCTCAGTAAAACTGAGTGGGAGTTAATGATTCTTTTCATCTTGTTTTATTTTTTTTTTTCCCCTTTAACTGTATTTATATAAAATGCCTTTTGGAGATGTCAGAGCTATTTGTGATTTTTGACTCAAATTTCACATGTTTTTTTGAGCTGGATAAAAATGTTTTTCCCCTGAACTGCTGCTATTGCGTAGCAGCCTCAGTAAAACTGGGTGGGAGTTAATGATTCTTTTCATCTTGTTTTATTTTTTTTTTTCCCCTTTAACTGTATTTATATAAAATGCCTTTTGGAGATGTCAGAGCTATTTGTGATTTTTGACTCAAATTTCACATGTTTTTTTGAGCTGGATAAAAATGTTTTTCCAAGGTAGTAATGTAATACTCTGTGTTGGGTCCATATTTCCGTATTAAACTGCTTGGGTGGGTTGGTTGGTTTGGGGTTTGGTTTGTCGTTTGTTTGTTTGTTTCAAAGATGAGGGTAAAGTCCTGAAAGCAGAAGTCTTCAGCTTGACTTGAAATAGTGGTTTGCATTTCTCTTCTGCTATGAATTGGATGATTTGCTTGTTTCCTAGACCTGAAACTGCTTCCTGTCTTCCCCTCATCTTGTTTTCTTTTCTTCCACCACCTTGGCTGGCAGGCAGTTACTTGCCCGGTTCTGCTCCTTAAATAATAGTGGGAAGTGGCTGAATCTGTTCCTCTTCAGCTGGAGGGAGCTGAGTGTAACATTTTGGACTAGATGACCTTGTAAAGGTCCCTTCCAACCCAACACATTCTATGATCCTATGATTTTTTTCAGAGTTCTTTTGGTTTGGAGAAGTAGGAGGTTTTTGGTCAATCGTTGCAAAGCACACATCTTCCATGGGAATACGTGCTGCCTGACTTCAGCTGCATCTGGAAAGATGAGAGTAAACCCAAAGTCCCCAAAGAGGTGCCTCAGTTAATACCCTTTCCTTTTTTCTTTTTCTTTTCTTTTTTTTTTTTGGTCTGTTTTGCCTAGAGTGGCCCCGTACGACTCTTTGTACCGTATAAAAGGCGGAAAAAAGAAAATGAAATGCCTGCAGCTCCAGCGAAGAAGGATTGCCCCAAGAACATCACTCTGCTTCCTGCCACAGCTGCTACTACATGTAGGTTCTTTGGTAAAAATTGCTTCCCTTTTTTGATGAAGTATTGCCACACTGGATATTTTATATCAATCAGCGGCCTGTTGGATCTAGCCAACTGAGAAAAATGTGTGGGTTTTTGCCACTTCCTTTCCATTGGATGGTTTAATTGGCTCAGGATCGTTAGCTAGTTTCACTTCCTATTTTGTAGAAACCAGCAGAGTGTTGCCACATTGGGACTGCAGGGCAAGTTGGAAAAAGCACAGTTCTAGTCTTCCAGGAGACTGGGTTTTAAGCATCTTAATATCCTTTTGCAGTGAGCAGTAGGTTTTATGTTTTGTTGAGAGGTCTGGGTTATATTTCCCTGCTGTGCTCTCTCCCCCTGACAGCACAGGGGAGTTGTGGAGTCCTGGCCTTGGTCCGGAGTGGGAGTCAGGTATATTTTTTACATAGGACAATTGAGACATTTCCTCCTGATAAAATGAGGTCGGGGGGAAGGCTGGTCCTTTCCTGCTCTGCTGGAAATCCCCATTCCTGCTCTGAGTTTGGGTTTTGTCCTTCAGAAGCTGGTGAGGGCTGCAGAGTAAGATTTGTGCTTTTTCTTAAAATACATAGAAGAGTAGGCTGTAAGCAGCTGGAATAAAATCCACAGCCTGAAAGTTGTTAATGAAAAGAAGCCCAAGGTGATGCTTTCATCTGCAGATTTCCTCTCTAGCATTCAGGACACGCTTTGTTACTTACTGGTTTTGATTGTCAAACCATCTGTGTGAGAACAGAAATTAATTTACAAGCTCATCCAGCTCACACGTTCCCAGTCACACTCGTGTGTCGTCCCGCTCTCATCCTACGGGCAGGATCTGGGTGGTAACATTACAAAGTGAATTGAGGAAGCAACAGAAACCCAAAAAAGAACAGCCAAAACTAGGGTTAGATTTCCAGCGCCAGCAGGAGGAGAAATAAGCAAGGATTCTATAGAGTTTATTTGGGGCTTTTTTAATCCCCCAAATAGGTTTAATTTGTATTGGTTCATTAACGTGTGGTGCTGTGAGGCTGCACGTTTGCTTGTGCTTGTTTTGGTGGCAGCCACATGTTTCACCAGACACAAATCTGTAGTCTCAACGTCTTAAAATTGAATTATTGGTTGAGAAAAGATCCTTCTGGCGGAGCAGTGTGCCACAGACTCAGCCCATTCCCAATTAATGGTGCCAGATTAATTAATCCTGTTTAAAAAGGGTTTAAAACATGTTGGAGCCATGTGGATATATTCATCCAAAAGGATTTTGTGACTTGTTCCTTGGCCAAGCGTGTTCCATCCCTGTGTGCAGACAGGCAGCTGAAGTTGGCCAGCTCACCGGGCTGCCACAGAATTCCTCCTAATCCCCAGGTTTTCTGTGTGGATTTAAGCAGTAAAAACCACACTCTTCCTAAAGTTGTAATAAATTGGGATCAGCCAGAAACAGATGGGGTTTGTGCCCCCACTGAACCTTTCTGGTAGATGTTATCTTATTGCTCATACAATAGTTGAAAAGGTGGTGATTTGGGAGTCATTATGTTGTAAATTAACGTTTGTGCGGGAGGACAGCAGCGTTTTGGAAGCCAAACAAGGCTTTTATTCCCATTTCCAATCATATCTATCATTGGCCGTTTGTTTACTGATGTGTGAATTCTCTGGGTGATGCTGAACAGGGGTAGCAACAGCAGAAGAACCGAGCCCTCTGCGCTGAGGCCTTGGGGTGATGCTGAACAGGGGTAGCAGCAGCAGAAGAACCGAGCCCTCTGCGCTGAGTGTTAATTAGGAAAGTCTTTCTAATATTTCCAGTCACGGTGACTCCTTCTGGACAGATCACTACCTCCGGCGCTCTGACGTTTGACCGTGCCTCAACGGTGGAAGCCACAGCAATTATCTCAGAAAGTCCATCCCAGGGTGATGTTTTCACTGGAGCCACTGGTAAGAGTTTGTCCAGGTGTCTGCTAGACATCCAGGGGAAGGAGAACAAAAGGTTTGGCTGCCCGTTGCTTTAGGAAGAAGCATTTTAAATGCTGCACAAAGAGTTTATTTTTCAAGAGCTGACAGAGAGACTATACATAACCCATTGTCCTTCCTTTGAAATGATTTCAGCAGCTTGAAATCTTTCCAGTTGCACGAGTTAGAAGTTTTGTCCAGATGTTGCAGCTGCTGATGTACAGCTCTGCTGGTTTCTAGGGGTTTATGCTCACCTCTGTCGTTTTTTCCACTCCTCTTTTGTCCTAAAATACTACCAAAAAAAAAAAAAAGAAAACTAGCTGAGTGTTGAAACTAGGTGAAAAATGCCAGAATTAATCAAACAAAATATAAATGCATGATATATATTTCAGTTTGATTTGTTCATGGGGTTGTGAGCTCTGCTGAGGGAACTGTCCTGCTCTGAGAACCGTAGTTTGGAGACCCTGTGGTTATTGTGAATATAAAGGTGTCTGGGAGGGAAGACAGCAGTAAGAAAGCAGAGAAAAACTAAATCAGTGCAAGACTTGCTGCTAACTGTGTGAGACCATGCTGCTCTTCCTCGTTTGGAATTACCAGAGAGTGTAGGAGCTTGTATAAAATGTGGAAAAAAAAAAACAGGTGTAAGAAGCATAAGAAGTGCCCGGGAGCTGTGATACCCAGCCATTGATACTGGCCTTGTTCTCCCACAGTTCAGGACACCAGTGTCCAGCCTCCGTGCCGGGTCACTCACCCAGAGCCTCATTATCCCAGTTACCAGGACAACTGTCAGATCTCACCTTTTCCTGAAGCTGCGTTGCCAACCTCTCATCCCAAAATTGGTACGTTTTCTGTCTGTCACGAAATACGTTAGCATTGCTTCAATCTTCTCTCACAGCGAAGGGGAAGATTGAGGCAGAAAAATAACCATTTCTCTGTTTTGCTTACAAGTTTTGGAGTTATTAGCGTTTGGACAAACAGCGTTTCCAGTCTGTGGAAAGTTTTTCACTCCGTTATTGAGAATTTTGATGTGTTGGTTCCTACCAGAGGAGGCTGTTGTGGTCCTGCTTCCTAAATCACCACGCAGTTCCCTGGCTTTCCCGAGGCTTGTGCTTCAAGGCTTTTGTCAGCACTAGGGCCCTGTGGCTGAACACTTAGCGTTTGAGCTGAGACCATCCCCTTTAAAATTATGTCACAGCTTTCCTAAACGTTCTCACATCTCCGTAGGAAGCCACTGATGGGTGCTGTCAGTTCGGGGCAGGTTTGGGGAGCTGCTCTCCCATCCAATGTCACTTTTCCATCCCTTACCACAGATGTTTGTGCTGGAATGATGGATGCTGGTTAATCACCTCTTCAAGTGCAATTATGTTACATAAACTTAATGACCTTGCATTTGCCTGTGCTGATAGAAACTGGAAGTGTTGCAGAAACTGGAATTGCAAACTTGGAGTGCTGTTCTTGCTTTATGTGTTTTTATCGAGCCTGGACAGGAGATGCAGCAGGGAACGGCCTGCCTCTGACAGGCTTATGTTGAGGAGATTTTTAGGCCTTTTACTTCTCCAAATTCTATGATTCTGTGAAGTTTCTCTGAAACAGCGCGACCTCACTGACACGGAGAAGCTGTAAGAAGGGCAGGTTTTGAGCCCTGTTCCTGTTCCCTCAGACATCAAGGAAAAATCATGTAAACACGATGTATTCCTTTGTGCTGCCTGGAGTCTTTCTTTTTTAAAGCCTGTGTTCTCCCCTCGGTCTGACCTTTTATTTACTTACTCAGAGCAGCACGGCGCGTTCCTGCTCTGTCCGGAATGAAATCTTGTTGGTTTTCAGTCTTAGTCAGATCTGGTTTGTTACTAATTAAACATTGATTTCTTTTCACCGGTGAATACTTTCTCTGGACTGAGGTCCCTGTGCCAAAACGGGGAATGGGAAGTAATTCCCATGCGATAAGTTATCAAATGCCGCGCTGTGATAAATATTGGGCTGGAAATGTGGCAGTGGGAAAGGCTCTTCTGCAAACAGCTCCTGATAAAAGGTCGGTTTATCTCTTCCTGGTATCTAAGTGCAAATAGTTCTAGTCACATGCAAATGGATTGAAATTGCTGTTTTAATTAAGGGCTGTTGAGCACAAAGCCTGGGTGTTTGCCTGTGTGGTGAGCTTGCAATGCTCTCTGTGGACAGAGTACTCGCGTGTCCAACACACCTTGGGGTTTGAGGCTTGTTCTCTCTCTCTAAATCTGTGCTGGATTCTCTCAGCTTTTGCTGCTTGTGTGACAAACTTCCAGATAGGGCTTGAAAAGGGTTAAAGTGTTAATACACTGAAATTAATTGCTGTCTTGGAAGATAATTTAGCGTTCAGGGCAGTCTTGCGAAGCCTTGTTTGTCTTTACTAAGGGGAGGTTCCTGGTGAGTGGAACTGCTGGAATTGCAGTCTGGTGCAGGAAGGTCTGGTGGCCTTTGCTGTTCAGGACAGTATTTATAGAATAGTAGAATTATAGTTGATTTTTTTCCAGGACAGTATTTACAGTTGAGTTTTAAGTACCATTTGAAGTGTAGTCAAGAAGATTTTTTCCTGAATTGGACAGTTCCTCCTATTCTGTGTTTTTAAGCAGGTTGTGCAGTTTGCTGTTCCCTGTGAGAGAGGGAGAGCTGTGAAAAGTAGATGTTTTAGGGACACAATAACTGCTGGGTTTCTGAAACATTTGCAAAGGTAAGGCTAAGAGTTTTTCTAGGAGTTTAATTTTCTAACACAGGCTTCAGGAAAGGGGGGACAGCAGAGCCCTGACAATTGATGGAGCTGGAGGGAAACTCAAGGCAAGTGTGATGAGATTCCCAGGACAGTTCAGCTTTGTGCTGGTGGCTTCCTTCAAATGGCAATTACTGGTAAGATTATGAAAAAGTAAAGGCTGCAACATCTCAATAATTGGTTTGGGTTTTTTTCTTCTTTTAATGTCCCTTGGAGTACGTTCAGAGGTATTGCTGGGCTTCTGTGCTTTTGTATTTAGCTTCATACCTGTGGCATTCTAGTTTATACAAGAGTGAAGAGCTGTAGTTAGAATTTGGGAGGAAAGGGCCGTAGACGAGAAATGACTTTCTTGAGAACTGTCCAAGACAGTAAATGTAAAGCAAATGTCAGGAGATGTTTGTGTCTGAAGCTAAAACTTCCATCTGGACTGTGTGCATTCCCTCTCTCCTTTGGGGTTAGGCAAAAGAGGTTTCAGAGCTGCAATGAGCGTTGCTGGTCGGAATAACCAGGATATTTGAAACAGATGGATATACCTTTTATTAAAGGTATACATATATATAATATATATGTGTATATATATGTGTATATATATATAATAATATATGAAGGTATTAAAGGTAATAAAAGGAATACCTTTTATTAGAATTTGTGGCGTTTCAGTGTGGTACAGGTATTTTCATGCTCACAGTTTGTTTTCTGGGTAGGATGCAGGATGAAGGGGCCCAAGGAGTTTACAGTTCTTGAGGGTTTTTTTTTAAGGGCTTCTCAACCGCTGGGTTTGGAAAACGCATGTTTGTAATTCATGTAATTTTGAGGTGGTGGTAACTGGCTTGGTTTTATCCCAGTCTTTGGCCAGGGTTATGTTTAAGATGAGGATTCAGGAGGTGTAGGGGAGCGTGACGTGGGTCGGTGCCTACTTTTTGTAGTTGTGCAACGTGAGAATTGACATCTGCATAGTGTCAGAGTTAGGTTGATGGTTGGACTAGATTATCTTAAAAGTCCCTTCCAACCTAGACAAGTCTATGATTCTATGATTCTATACTGACATCAGGATATGTCAGAAAAATTGACGGTTTTGGTTGCTGAATGACTTATTAGAACCTTACTTAGCAATGGTTAAGGGAAGGATTAGGTGGAACATTGTGATGATGGTGCCACAGGGGTCGCTGGGGATGGTGCTTTCACTGCTTAGTTATGCAGCAGAGCCAGGAGGGGTTAGTGCCTTCCCAGAGCAGACAGCAGGATCAGGAGTACAGGTTCTTCTGTCCTCTGGGTTTGAGAGTGCCCCAAGGGCTTGTTCTGCACAGACCAATTCCGTGACCTTTGGGTCTCAGAAGACAGGTCTGTTTAGCAAAAACTTCACTGGATTGGAAATTTTTGCAGACCGTATTTTAAAAAAAAAACAACCAACCAACCATCCCAACAAAACCACTCCCCCACCATGTTATGGAAGTGAAGCACCCTAATTCTCTCTGTTTTCTTTTTCTTCCTTTCTATTCAGTGTTAACACCACTCCCTGCCCTGGCGGTGCCCCCCACGACCCCCACCAAAGCCATATCCCCTTCGGTGGTGAACGGGCTGGAAGTGACGGAGCAGCGGAGCTGGCTCTACCTGGAAGAGACGGTCAATTCGCTGCTCAACACTGCCCAGCAGCTGAAGACTCTCATTGAACAGGCCAAACAGGCCAGCTCCTCCTTCCGCGAGGCCGCTGTCACACAAGCAAAGATTCAAGCTGATGTGGAGAGGAAAGAGGTAATTATTCCGGAGGGGGTGAGATGGCTCAGCCAAGGGCATCTTTTTGGCTGAGTGATGGAGAGAGTAGAACTTCACTGGTTTTCACTGAATTTTTAGAGTTGGAAGGGACCATAGAGATCATCTAGTCCAACTCCCCTGCTGAAGCAGGACCACCCAGAGCTTGTCAGAGCATGTTACTCAGGAGCATCCAGGTGGGGCTTGAAAATCTCCAAAGAAGGGGACTCCACACCCTCCCTGGGCAGCCTGTTCCAGGGCTCTGCCACCCTCACCGTGAAAAAGTTTCTCCTCATATTTGAGTGGAACCTCTTCTGTTCCAACTTGTGCCCGTTGCCCCTCATCCTCTCACTGGGAACCACTGAAAAGAGTCTGGCTCCCTCCTCCTTCAGCCCTCCCTTGAGATACTTGTAGGCATTAATAAGGTCTCCCCTCAGCCTTCTCTTCTCCAGACTCAAGAGTCCCAGCTCTTTCAGCCTTTCCTCATAAGGGAGATGCTCCAATCCTTGAATCATCTTTGTTGCCCTACGCTGGACTCTTTCTAGTAGTTCCCTGTCCCTCTTGAACTGGGGAGCCCAGAACTGGACACAGGATTCCAGTTGTGGCCTCACCAGAGCAGAGCAGAGGGGGAGAATGACTTCCCTTGACCTGCTGGCCAGACTCTGCCCTACGCCGCCCAGGATTCCATTGGCCTCTTGGCCACAAGAGCACACTGTTTGCTCATTGTCATTTTGTTGTCCACCAGGACCCCCAGATCCTTTTCTTCAGAGCTTGTCTCCAGCAGGTCCATGCCTAACCTGTATTGATGCCTAACATTCTTCTTTCCCAGGTGCAGGATCCTGCACTTTTCCTTGTTGAACCTCATGAGGTTCTTCCTTGGCCAGTTCTCCAGCCTGTCCAGATCTCGCTGGTTGTCACTGGTTGTCACTGGCCATAACAGTGGTCACCCTTAGAAATCATTTCTCAATATCTTGAGAGCAATGTTGCTAAAATAAATCTTTCGGAGTTTTTTGTATGATGGGGAGAGGAGTAGAGCAGTGTGGGATTCCAGGAGGTGTGGGTGGCAGCCAGTAACACACACTGTTTGGTGTTAGGAGTCCTCAGCTCTCCCATCTGCCATCCTTAAATTTATGAGACGTGGACACTGCATCCTCGTACGGGAAAGCTGGTGAGTGTTGAGCCGTGCCGTGGCTGCTTTCTTCATGGCAAGCAAGTGGGGCTGTCAGAGAGGCTTTTGGTGGCCCCAAGAGGCTGAGGGAAAGAAGAAGAGAGTCTAATTCTCGATTCTTTTCTCCTGTATGTGCAGTGGCAAAGATACAATTAGAAAAAGTGTCAATAGTGTTATGTACATACTTTAGGCGACCACATTCTCCAAAATGTGTAACATCCGTTTGCCAGATTTGCAGTGGTGAGGTGCCACGTGGGTTAACTCCCAATTGTGGCTGCAGGGCTATAGACTGGCATTCAGGGCATGTCAAGATAATATTACGTGCTTGGACAGTGTTTACCTGAAATTGCTTTTGTAGTGCCTTCCTGTTTTGGTGAAAGAAGTTATGTGAGAGCTGTGCCTGTTGAAATAATTGTGGTGTGTGGAGGGCGACTGTGGCTTTACAGCACGGTTGCCCTTGGCTAGGGGTCCTGGCAGAGAGGTGTGTGACCGTATATGTGTGACATAATAGGGTAATTTACGGTAGGAAACATAGTGCCATAATTTTTTAAGTTGTCTAAATAACTCTGGGTTGTTGACTTCCTTTAGGAAAGCACCTTCATGCGCTGAACAATTCCTGTAACATATAAAGAATCAGTTACGATATTGAGATTTACATCAGAAAAAAGCTGAAAAGCACGCGCAACAGCTGCAAGCTCAACAACTTGGGGCGATCCAGTGACACATTTAATATCTTGTTTCCAGAGATTGTCAGTGGATTGCCAAAGGACCACTGCTCTGTGCATTTTCCCAGAACCATCTGTGAATGATGTGACTGCATTAGAGAGAGGGGTATGGGAAAGTAAGGTTAGACATTGCAGTCCAGTAGGTGTCAGCTGTCTTTTAGAGTCCAAGTCAGGATCACCCTTTAACAATTGAAAGAGAGGGTGCAGATTTTGATGTAGTGATACCCAGAAAAGGTCTGAGCCAGTTGATAGTTCCCAACAATTTTTGCAGATCCTTCAGAGTCTTTATTTGTAATACCAGTTGCAGTGCTTGTGGCTGGATGGTGTGAGTTGTAATCTTCCATCCTAGGTATTTCCAGGGTGATGCACGTTGGACCTTTTCCTTGGCTATCTGCAAGCCTGCTCCTAGGCCAGCAAGGCAGACTTGGCAGATGACTGACTGCAGGTCTTTGTCCTTTTCGGCAGCTATAAGTCTGTCGTCCATGTAATGATAAATTATAACATGAGGGTTTGCATTTTGGACAGGTCGTAAAGCATTTGCTACAGTTAATTGGCAGATAGTCGGACTATTTAGCATACCTTGTGGCAACACAGTCCAATGATATCGTCGTGTAGGCTGTTCCTGATTGACAGCTGGTACAGAGAATGCAAACGGGGGTGCATCCTTTGGGTGGAGAGGAATAGCAAAAAAAACAGTCTTTGAGATCAATGATGGCTATTGGCCAATTTTGAGGCACTATAGAAGGTGAAGGAAGACCAGGCTGTAGCGAACCCATGGGCTCAATGACGGCATTTATCGCTGGAAGATCATGTAACAATGGCCATTTGCCACTTTTCTTAGTATTACAAACACAGGAGTGTTCCACGGGCTGGTGGTGGGTACAATGCGGCCAGTGGCCAGTTGTTCTTTTACGAAGTCATGCAAATGCAGCAGTTTATCCTTTTTCAGGGGCCATTGATCTATCCAAACAAGGGAAAACCATAAAGAATTACAAGCACAGCATAAATTAGAAGCAGCTACAGTCAGGTTTCTTCCTTAAGATGGCATGTCTAATCTAAATTTTGCAGGAGGATTGGATCCCTAATTGCGGATCCAAACACATGGTGATACCTTGATAGAGAGTCCCCAAAAGCAGCAGGGGCTGAAGTGGGAAGTGCTGAGTGTTCTGGTGTCAGGCTGTGTCAAATAAATGCCTGTTGTCGTGGGCAATTATAGAAAGTATGGAAAAATCCACTTGCCTTCCACTCTTATGTCTGACACAAGGTGTTTCCCCCTCCCACTGTACAATTACAGGCGTATAACCCCCATGTCAGGGGCTGGGGGTGTCCTGGGCTGCTCTGGAGAAACTCTGGGTCAGGTTCCAAACGCTGGAGCCAAAGGTTTCACCCACAGGGTCTTTCTTACACATCGTTTTGTCATTTGGAAGCCCTTCCATGTGCTCTGTCACTTTGGCCTTTGTAATTTCTGTGCGTTTGTGCTTTGCTGGGCAAATCTCAGGACCGAGGGGATCTCTTCCAAATTGTGTTTCCATCTTTACCACAAGTTATTTGGATGCCCCGAGGTAACTCAGTGGCCTCTCTGGGCCTCAGAGCCTGTTCTTTAACACAGGATGAGGCTCCCTTCACGAGGATCTTGCAGAGCTGCTCACAAAGCAGCAGGATCTCGGGGTAAAAGGCTGTGTAAAAAGTGTTAACCTTATAAGGCCTAGAAATAGCCCCAGAGGAGCAGGATGGAGCACTTGGGATGGTGCTGTCTGTCCCTGCCCTTTGGGGAGGTCTGAAGCCCCCCCAGGTTTAAGCAGAGTAGAGAAGAAGTGGCACCAACAGTGAACATGCAGGAAAACTTACTCTAGTGCTGGTTTGTTCCTGTCTTCCTAGAGAGCAATGAATTAAGCATTAAGGATTTTTAATCACAGCTTATATGGTGTGTTGTATATTGCAAATCATTTACTATATTGTGTTTCACATTATTTAATGAGCTTTGGAGTTCATTAGAGATGAGAAACAAGCCTGTCTGCTCCCATAGAGCAGCAGTTTGGGTCCCTTGGCTTTAAATGCCAGAAGCTGTGTTGTGGGAAGTGCTGGTGGGACTCGCAGAGCTCTGAACTCTGAAAGTCAGGCTTTTGCTCCCAGTTTTCTTTGAGCTGGGGAGGCATTTGTGCTGCCTCTCCACTTCTCTTCTTCTCTGGGAAGTCAAAGAGCTTCCATCACTGTTTCATTCTGGTCACGCTTGCTAATGATATTACCCAGGACTGTTCAAAGGAGCCTTAGGAATACATTATGCCCTTCATTTATATCATTTTGAAGGTGGAAATGCCACCATCAGAGAGGAGCTGTGGCAGGAAGGGGATCTGCTAAATGTACCAAGGGAAAACCATAAAGAATTACAAGCACAGCATAAATTAGAAGCAGCTACAGTCAGGTTTCTTCCTTAAGATGGCATGTCTAATCTAAATTTTGCAGGAGGATTGGATCCCTAATTGCGGATCCAAACACATGGTGATACCTTGATAGAGAGTCCCCAAAAGCAGCAGGGGCTGAAGTGGGAAGTGCTGAGTGTTCTGGTGTCAGGCTGTGTCAAATAAATGCCTGTTGTCGTGGGCAATTATAGAAAGTATGGAAAAATCCACTTGCCTTCCACTCTTATGTCTGACACAAGGTGTTTCCCCCTCCCACTGTACAATTACAGGCGTATAACCCCCATGTCAGGGGCTGGGGGTGTCCTGGGCTGCTCTGGAGAAACTCTGGGTCAGGTTCCAAACGCTGGAGCCAAAGGTTTCACCCACAGGGTCTTTCTTACACATCGTTTTGTCATTTGGAAGCCCTTCCATGTGCTCTGTCACTTTGGCCTTTGTAATTTCTGTGCGTTTGTGCTTTGCTGGGCAAATCTCAGGACCGAGGGGATCTCTTCCAAATTGTGTTTCCATCTTTACCACAAGTTATTTGGATGCCCCGAGGTAACTCAGTGGCTTCTCTGGGCCTCAGAGCCTGTTCTTTAACACAGGATGAGGCTCCCTTCACGAGGATCTTGCAGAGCTGCTCACAAAGCAGCAGGATCTCGGGGTAAAAGGCTGTGTAAAAAGTGTTAACCTTATAAGGCCTAGAAATAAGGGCAATTTGTAAACCCAACGTTTACAATTCCCACATGTAGGAAAATACCTCTTTTGCAATAATTTCTTTGGAAACAAAATTGTTCTAGAGTCTCAGACACCAAATCCAAGTTACATTTCTGTTATTGAGAAGTCTTGGGGAGTCACATTCTGAAAGAGAAACCATCAACTCTGCTCAGGGTTTATATTAACTTCTAAAAAAACGCCTCATGCTTATTGCAAAAGATGAAAATATCAAAATATTTGTAAGCTTTTTCTGAATTGCAGCATTTTGCGTGGCTCTGTCAGAACTTCATGCAGCTGGTAAGAGCAAGTTCTCCCCTGTTGTTAGTAATTAGCTGGTGAGCGATCTGATCCTTTGCTTTCTGTCTGACTGTGGGGGTCACTGCATTTTTGTTTTAGGGAAAAGCATTTAGTGTGAAAGTAGGGGGGGGCAATAAAAGCTCAGTCTCTTACCAGAGCTGTTTGACACCTTGCAGGGCTGGCCCGAAGCAGCGCATTAAAGCTGATGATTTACACAAAGGGCCGGGCGCTTTGGCAGGGTAATTTTTCTGAGTGTGCATTAAGCCATTTTTTCTGTTAGATAAACTTTAGGAGGGGGAGAATACGTGAACTCCCCAAACTCCCTGCCAGAAGGCATTGCGGGAAGATAATAAAGATATTCAGGAAATGTGTCAAACAGTTTTTCTGTATAAATGTAGAAGAATCTGTGTCAAAATATGGGAAGTGTTTTAATTGAAATAACCTTTCTTTGTGTAACGCAGCGGTGCCTTCGGAGCCCAGCCCGTTTGAAAACAAGGGGGAAGATTAAATCAGCCAACAGCTGGAGCAGCTGAGTTCTTTTTTAGAAAGATTAAAACAATTCAGGGCTAGAGTGTATGAAATCAACCCAAAAAAGGGTTGGGCATTTTAGAAATGTAGCTCCAGTAAGCAAATAATGGTTTGTGTACCCCAGAGCAGCAGTGAAAAAAGCTGAGAATGGGAGGTTGTTGGTTTTCTGGAGCTGGTTTTGTGAGATCTGGGTGTGTCTGGTTCGATCCTTTCCCCCCGTATCACCCCTTTTCCTTCTCTGTAGTTTCTGAATGGCTTGAACTCTTCATGCCATGGGCTGAGCAGAACCAGAGGACTCGCTGTGGGGAGGGAGATATCCCAGTAGCTGGGATTGTGTGTGCAGAGGTTTCTGAGCTGGGTTGAAATGCCAGCTCCCCGCATGCTTTGGGGTCTGTATTTCCACTTTCTCCACTAAAAAGAAGTTTAGAAACATTTCTCAGTTTCCCAGGTCTGTACCCTTAACAGGGGTCATTTGTCTTTTACTTACCAGTGGAAAACCTGTTTTACCCTTTCCTGAAGAACCCAGTTTCCCTGCCTGAGGGCTGGTGGCAGAGGCTGGGACACGAAGCATTGAGTCCCTGCTTCTCCATGGCTGGTGCTCACCAACCTTAATGATCCTCTGAAGAATGAAGGTCATTTTCTCCCTGAGCCCTGGCAGAACCTCTTAACCCAGGGGCCACATCTCAAACTTGCCGCTCTGTTCCCTGTCTTCACAAGAATGCTTTGGGTTGGACACGATTTTGGTTTTCCAAATAGTCACTTTGGAATTTCCATAGATGGGATGAACATTCCACCTGTGTGGTACCGGATGTGTTGGGGATGCTGTGTCCCGTCTTGCTAATTAGCCTGGTCTTGCTTATTTGTCAAATAATGGCAGAACCCAGTCACACCCCTTGCACTGACCAGCAAGAGGTTTCCCTACCGCCGCCTCCATCTCCCTGGAGTGTTTTAAATTGAATTTGTGTCATGGCAATGTAAAGGTTTTCAAGGTTGTGATTTCACAGGAGAATAAATACTGGGATGTCAGGTCATGGAGACACTTGTAAATTAAGCCTTTAATCTCCTTATACGTGGGGTCACAGTCACTCCTGGATAAACCTGCTCTGGCTGAAGGTGAGGGCTCAGGTTTTTGCTTACTTTTGAACTGTTCTAAATAAATTTAAATCGGGGTTAGCACATGATCAAATGGGGATGGAGTTTGAATTCCTTTGGGTTAGGACTCCTGTCTCTGAGCGTGGCCAGGTGACGGGGCAGAGCAGTGCCTGGCTGGACTTGGACTGCTTTGGAGTAAATCTGCAATGCACCTGAAGCGTGATTTAAAAGTCACCCCCAGAGGAGCACTTCATTTGAAAGCCCTTTTGTGCTTTTATTAAAGGGAGGAATAATAATGGTGAAGGTTGATGCTGTTCCTAAAGTCTTGAGCATGTTAGTTTTATCTGTTCCCTTCCCCTGACCCATTCTCTTGGGCCGTGCTGTCCCTTCCGAGGCTTTTGCCTGTTGGTGGATTAGGGTCACTCCACTTGACCCTGAATTTGGCCCGAGATGATGGCACTTGCTCCTATTGCCTTGGCATTTTCTTTGTGTTTCCTTTGCTGCCTCTGTAGGTTCTCCTGAGTGTGGGGTGCAGTTCCCTTGTGGCAGTTATGGGGTGGGGAGAGCAGGGATGAGTAAATGCTGGGCTTCACTGGCAGTTTGTCACCTCGGGCTGTTTTCTCCCAGGCTTCTGTCTGGGGCTTGAGTAAATGCTGGGCTTCACTGGCAGTTTGTCACCTCGGGCTGTTTTCTCCCAGGCTTCTGTCTCGGCACAAGGGCACAGTGTCCCTCTCTCAGAAGGGAGGAGTGAGGGTCCCCTCTGTCCTCTTGCCACTGCAGCTTTGGGCTTGCCAGGAGCAAGCTCAGTGTCGGGACCCTCCATAGAGAGCACCCTGCTCAGCCCCTCACCTCATACTCTGCTGTGAAATGACAACTCGGTGTGTCTTCCCTTGCAGCAATATCAGAACCAGTTATTTCAGCAGACAGAAGATGTGGATGGGAAGACAGAAATCATCATCAAGGTAAGCGGGGGGTGTCTGGTATTTTATTGAGAATCTTTTGTTCTTTGTCTTGTTCCATTTAAAGATGCAGAGTTTTTTTATCATTGCTACAGAAGTCACGTGTTCTGTATCTTTCCTTAGTGGGACTAAGGTTTGAGCAGAGCATGTCCCCTTTCCCAAGCCTTCTAGGTTTTCACAATCCATTATCGTTATCTGGCCGGGTTAATGAGTCTCTCTCACCTCTGAGCAGAGGCGCTGGCAGCTCCCTCAGTCGCTGGCATCTGATGGGAAGGAAACTCTTCCTTTTTGTCCTCTGAGCTGGTTTCAAAACTGCATGATTCCCTCTGGTGTGAGCTGAGATAGTTCAGGCCCTGTGATCACAGACAGCTCCGTCAGTTGCTGGCGTCTGATGGGAGGGAAACTCTTCCTTTTTGTCCTCTGAGCTGGTTTCAAAACTGCATGATTCCCTCTGGTGTGAGCTGAGATAGTTCAGGCCCTGTGATCACAGAATCACAGAATCTTCTAGGTTGGAAGGGACCTTAAAGATCATCTTGTCCAACCGTCAACCTGACTGACAAAAATAGACACCCACACAACAAACAAGGAGCATCATCACTAAACCAGACCTCCCAGCACTACATCAACCCGTCTTTTGAACACCTCCAGGGATGGGGCCTCAACCACCTCCCTGGGCAGCCCATTCCAATGCCTGATAACCCCTCAATGTCTTTTTTATGGTAGGGGGCCCAAAACTGGACACAGTACTCAAGGTGAGGCCTCACCAGTGCCCAGTACAGGGGAACAATCACCTCTCGGGCCCTACTCACCACGCTGTTCCTGATACAGGCCAGGATGCTGGTGGCTTTCTTGGCCACCTGGGCACTTTCTTGGCCACCTGGGCCAAGAAATTTAAGCCCTGAGAGCTGTGTGTGTTACTCATTCTTTCTGAGATCTCGGGGTACAGCTGCCTGCACTGGGTGTGTTTTCCAGCATTTCTGAACAGCCTCAATCGAGTGTCCCTTTGGGTCGGGCTTTGCAAGTCCCAAATTGCAGCTTCCAGTCCCTTTTTGGTGGCCCGATTTCCCGGCTGCACATCAGGGACACAAATATAGTTCAGTCACACAACTGTTAATTGTAGGTACGTGGGAAAGGTGTGAGCAGACGGTGTGATGGACTTGGTGTTAATCAGGGGGCTGGTTGTTAGGGGGGTTGTGCTTAAAGCGGGAAGGAGCCGGTGGAAGGAAAGACGCGACACTTTCACGCCGCCTGTCACAGCCTCACACTGCTGCTCTGACGTGTTAATGATTTGTCAGTAATTTAATGAGTTGGAAGCGGAATGCTCTGTGAAGTGCTTATTTTTGTGGCAGTTCAATGATATTTCCACTGAATATACAGGTTATGTTAATTGATGTCACTGGTACAAGATTAAAGCAAGAGACACAAAAACAGCCTTTAAAAACCAGGTGTGATTTCTCATCCATGTATCGTATCTCACCTTATTTCCAGGTTTAAGTCCTTGCTCCTGTTATAGCCTTAATTTTAATCCTGTCTTCTGTTTCCCTCTTGGGACACTGGTTATGTAGTTGTGGTGCTGACTGGCAGCCTGTAGCAGCAGATCTCTTTTTCCTCACCAAAAACCAGGGAAAAATTAAACTGCAGGGGCCTGTCCTTATGCCCACTCTTGTCCTTCCTCATACCCTCTCTCAGAGACACACAGGATTATAAACCAAACAAAACCACTGACCAAATCTGCCATTAAAACTTTAGATTTGAGATGAACTCAGCTGTACGGATGGCCCGTGCCTGGGCTCTGTGCTGCTGTGGGGCACACGCCTGCCCACTGACCAAATCTGCCATTAAAACTTTAGATTTGAGATGAACTCAGCTGTACGGATGGCCCGTGCCTGGGCTCTGTGCTGCTGTGGGGCACACACCTGTCCTGGGCAAGGCTGACTCCTGCAGAAACCCCCAAGGACCCAGCTGGGGTTGATAAGATAAATGTTAAGTTACTGGGGACAGATGTCCATGACCACTCAGTATCTCACCTGTGGTTTTGAAGGGCTTCCTGCTCTCCAGAAGGGAAAACAGCAATCCTTGTGCACATGACGAGGAGAGTGGGTCTCTGAAGGCCTCTTTGGTTTGTGTTTGTGGATTGAGAATATATCAGGAAACTGGGGCTTTACCACATTGTGTTACAGCACCCATATTACACTTTGGTGATCTCCCTTGTTGTTATCTCTGATGAGGTCTCTTTCCTGTCCATTTTCACAGCAATCCTGCGTCAACTGCGGTCGGGAGGCGATGAACGAGTGCACAGGGTGCCACAAAGTCAACTACTGCTCCACTTTCTGCCAACGGAAGGTAAGAGCTTGTTGGGGAGTTGGAAGTTCAGTTGTCTGGAGAGGGCTGTGTGACCCTGCTCCGTCACCAAGGACACAGTTCTGTTGTTCTTTACGTTATTCGTGATGATACAGTGGGATGAACGGTAAGAGTCTGAACATGGAAGATGGAAATTTTGGGTGGCAACAACCCCCTGCAGCGCTACAGGCTTGGGGAAGAATGGCTGGAGAGCTGCCTGGCAGAAAAGGACCTGGGGGTGTTGGTTGACTGTCGGCTGAACATGAGCCAGCAGTGTGCCCAGGTGGCCAAGAAGGCCAACAGCATCCTGGCCTGTGTCAGGAACAGCGTGGGGAGTAGGACACGAGAGGTGATCGTCCCCCTGTGCTGGGCACTGGTGAGGCCTCACCTCGAGGGCTGTGTCCAGTTTTGGGCCCCTCATCACAAAAAAGACATTGAGGTGCTGGAGCGGGTCCAGAGAAGCGCAAAGGAGCTGGTGAGGGGTCTGGAGCACAAGTCTTGTGAGGAGAGGCTGAGGGAGCTGGGGGTGTTCAGCCTGGAGAAGAGGAGGCTGAGGGGAGACCTTATCGCGCTCTATAACTCCCTGAAAGGAGGGTGTAGAGAAGTGGGGGTCGGTCTCTTCTCCCAAGTCACAGGAGATAGGACAAGGGGAAACGGCCTCAAGTTGTGCCAGGGGAGGTTTAGATTGGATATTAGGAAAAATCCCGTCATGGAAAGGGTTACCCAGCATTGGAATAGGCTGCCCAGGGAAGTGGTTGAGGCACCATCCCTGGAGGCGTTCAAAAGATGGGTTGACATGGTCCTCAAGAATATGGTTTAGTGATCTTTTTTATTGCTTATTTCTTATTTATTTTTTTGTCGGAGTTAGGTTGGTGGTTGGACTAGATGGTCTTTAAGGTCCCTTCCAACGATGATTCTATGATTCTATGGAACAGGTATGAGGAGGTGTGGTGGAGGGAACTGCTCTGCTTTGTGTTCAGCACAGGCTCCTTACAGAGACCCCTGACCCTGCCTTAGAGGAAACGGTGATGTAGTTTGGCCAGGGCTGCAGTTTCATGGAGTGTTGAGGTCTCAATCAGCTGAGGCCACGTGTATTGAGCGGCTGAAGAATTTTGACCGTTTCCTTTTGCCTGTAACGGATCGTATTGGTGGCCAAGAAGAGTAAAGCAGAAAGAGTAAAAATCCAGAGAAGGACCAAATGCTACTGGCAGGAAACTTAGAGCCTCCCTGCCGCCTCCTCAGGGACCGTAACACCACCCTGTTGTCTTCTCGGAACAAAGTGCTCTGGGAAGTGCCACCAAGTAGCCACCTTTTGTCTCTCCTAGACAGCCTGTCCCTTCTGAGTGGACATCTGCCCACGCCTGTGGCTGGTGCTCTGCACTGTGATGGGGCAGGAGCCTGAAGTGCCCTCAGTAACTGATTCTGTGAGATCCCCCTTGGATTTGTGAGCTGTGATGTGCGACCCCGGGGCTGAGCACGTCAGAGGAGAATTCTGTTAGTGCAGATGAGGAGTTAAAGGCAGTAAATCCTGGAGGAATTGTGTTCCTCTCCTTTGCCGTTGCTGAACTGAGACCCCTTTTATGGTCTTGCTCCACTCCTGGCCATCAGGAGAGGGTTTAAGTGAAGGTTCTGACTCTTGTTTTAGTAAAATTTCCACAATGTGACCAACATCGATGTCCTAGTTTGGTTTTGGGTTGAAAAGCCAGCATTCTGCTTACTTCGCATCCCCCTCTAGCCTTGACCCAGGAGTTTTAGTAAAATTTCCACAATGTGACCGACATTGATGTCCTGGTTTGGTTTTGGGTTGAAAAGCCAGCATTCTGCTTACTTCGCATCCCCCTCTAGCCTTGACCCAGGATGTGGTTCCTTTCCTGTCCATCGTTAGCCTCATTTGGCCGAGCAGTAGCTGCCTGCTCAGCCCATCGGTGCTGGAGAAAGCGCTCCTCAGAGGGGGCTTCTTTTGCTTTTGCGTTTTCCAAGGGCCCTTTTCCTTCACGGCCTCTCCATCTCCTCTCCCCTGGCAGGACTGGAAGGACCACCAGCACATCTGCGGCCAGTCGGCCACGGTGACGGTACAGGCGGATGAGGTGCATGTCGCAGGCAGCGTCATGGAGAAGGTCTCTGTCTGAGCACATCTACCTTTGACCACTGGTGAGCATCGTGGTGTGACCGGCTGGATCGGGCACCCTCTGCAAACCACACTCCTCTCTCCAGCAAACGCCTTTGTGAAAGACTTTTTGATACTGTGACAGCGTTTGCCAACTCCTCATCTTCTTCCAAAACTTCCAGTGATGCAGAGACTCTGAAAACCTCATCTGGAAAACACAAACCCACCAAACCGCAACCGAGCAGCCAGGAGCCACCTTCGCTGAAGGGAGCTGTGACTGTGCCAGGCTGGAACCTCCGCCGTGTGGGTAACAGCCATCTCCTCATCTCTCTGGAGATGGAGCTAACGCAGGTGCTGCAATGAGATTTGCCAGTGTTTCCCTCTGCCTCCCTGCCTCTCCTTTGAAAACAGAAACAAACCTTCATTTGGTTTACTTAATTGCCTTGAAAGAGTCAATACAAGTTCTTAGTTTGCCATTAGGAGGACTTCTTTTTCCCATGTTCCCTCTCTGCTGGGCAAATTTGGAACACACTGGAGCTTCTCCACTTGAATAGAAGTCAAAAACAACAAGTTGTTAAATAAAACGGGGTGAGATGATGAGCATGGCTGGCGGTACTGTGGAATTCACAGCAGCACTTGGACATAGGGATCAATGCAGCGAGCAGCTGCCGGGGGCTGGTGTGGCTGTGGGGAGGTGGTTGTGGCTGTGGGGAGCTGGTTGTGGCTGTGGGGAGCTGGTGTGGCTGTGGGGGAGGTGGTTGTGGTTGTGGGGAGCTGGTTGTGGCTGTGGGGAGCTGGTGCAGCTCCAGCACGGCTGCAGTTTCACACATGAAAGGGAAAGTTTCACGTTTGTCCAGCAGGGAAATACGGGCTCACATCTGGCCCAAATCAGCCCTGATCACACCCAAAGTGAGAGCACGGTCACAGGGTGCTCTCCTGGCATTGCCTTTGAGGAGTGTTGTGTGGTTGTGGGAAGCTGGTGCAGCTCCAGCACGGCTGCAGTTTCACACATGAAAGGGAAAGTTTCACGTTTGTCCAGCAGGGAAATACGGGCTCACATCTGGCCCAAATCAGCCCTGATCACACCCAAAGTGAGAGCACGGTCACAGGGTGCTCTCCTGGCATTGCCTTTGAGGAGTAGCTCATTAAAGAAGCGCTGAGCATTAGGAAGGTATTTGCTTCGTTCGCTGCAACAAAAGCATTTAATTATTAATGTACTTTAGTAATTTAGGGGCCTTTATTCATGTTTGAAGATTAATGGCCCGGGCTGGAGGAGTCTCAGCAGACACACACACCTCTGCTTTGTTGGGTTTTTAGCCTTGGGCATAAACTGTGAGGTGTTACCTGTCCATTACTGGCTGGGATGGAGCGTTGGTGGGCGAGGGGGGTGGCAGCAGCATCAGCCTCCTCCGAAGGAACCCGCTCTCTGAGGGAAAGTCAAGAACGAACCCAGTCAGGACAAGAACAGAAATGACCCGTCTGAAAAATTTAGGGGCCTTTATTCATGTTTGAAGATTAATGGCCCGGGCTGGAGGAGTCTCAGCAGACACACACACCTCTGCTTTGTTGGGTTTTTAGCCTTGGGCATAAACTGTGAGGTGTTACCTGTCCATTACTGGCTGGGATGGAGCGTTGGTGGGCGAGGGGGGTGGCAGCAGCATCAGCCTCCTCCGAAGGAACCCGCTCTCTGAGGGAAAGTCAAGAACGAACCCAGTCAGGACAAGAACAGAAATGACCCGTCTGAAACTCCCGGGGAGGAAAGAACAGGTGATTCCTTAGATTCCCCCAGCAAAACGCTCACTCCTGCTTCCCAGAGTAATTCTTCAGTGTTTGTAATCGTTTCTTCTCCCACTGTTACATTGTGATTGCCTCTTTCCTAAAGCTTAAAGACAAGTAGTTAATTGAAAAGACAGCCTTAATTGAGCCTGCAGTAATACAGCTAATTTACAGGGTTTCTTGCCTCGTCTATTGCCCATTAAGGTTCTGAATCTGTGGATGAGTCGCTCCTCAAATATCTGAGGGCGAGATGGCAGCGATAGTGAGTCTTGCGTTAGACGGCAGCCAAGGTTGGCTCTGAAGTGGGACCTTTGGGGCACGAGGGCGAGGCGGTGGTGATAGAGTGAGTCTTGCGTTAGACGGCAGCGATAGAGTGAGGTTGGCTCTGAAGTGGGACCTTTGGGGCACTAAAGTGGCACTTCCAGTGTCCACAGCTCTCAGCTGGAAGGTGTTTCCATCGCTTCGCCCCTTTGGCTCTGGAGAGAACCATCCCTGTGTGGTGCTGCTGGTTTGAGGAGCTGAGCTCTGCATGGAGTCAAGGACGAGCGTGGCTGCAGGAGGAGGTGAGCCGAGATCCCGGGCACCGGAACCTGCCGGGTCTCCTGCTGGCGTCCCTGCCAGGGGGACACCAACACAGAGGCCCCCACGGTCCCTATTGACCAGCTTGTGGCTGAGCCCTGGGCACTGTCTGAATTTTAGCTTTACTGCACCATTTAAAGGAAAAAAAATATTTGGAAGAGAGTGGGGCAACGTTTGTAAATAGGTGTGACTCACCTGTAATGGAAGCTCTCGGGAGCTGCCCATTGGAGCATCCACAGAGCTCAACCTCTCACAGTGTCATCACTGGGAATTTCATGTGTTTATTTGTTGATGATAAATTGATCCAGCTTCGGCCCTCCCTGCAGTACTTTTTCCCTTTTGTTTCTAAGCAAACAAATTACCCCCTGGAGAGCAACAACCCGGTACAAACCTCATTACCGAGGAGCTCGCTGCTTTGTGCGATAACAACTTCCTTCCCTTCTCAGCCCCAGAGACGGCGTTTCCCTCTCCCTGCCCTGGTCTCATGCACTCAGCTCCACCAAAAGGGAGAAGGGATTTTTCTCCCTGCAGCTGGAAATGGTTCCTGGGAGGAACTGAAGGGTTTGGTAAGGAATTCTGGAGAAGGAGCAGTGAGATCATTGTGCCTTTGGGTGGGTAAGGGTGGAATTCCTGCCAGGCAGCCGTGAGCGCTCCCACAGGGACCTCACCAGCTCCCTTTGTCCCCGTGGTTGAAATCATGGAACTGGTGGAGCTGGGTGTGGGAAGGGAGGGCTCCTCCAGGCTGGAACTGGAGCTGGAGCTGGGAGGCTCCCCCCATGCAGGGGGAGCAGGGAATTTCTCCACAGCTCTCGGGGCCAGGGCAGCTGCAAACTTCAATCCCACAGTGGGATGAGGGGTGTCTTACTGCTTAGTGGCAGCTCAGAGAAGCCCAAACCAGCCCAACCACCTAAAGCCAAAGCAAGAGCTGTTCTGAGAACCATCCCTGGTGTCTTGTGGCCTCTCTTGCCCCTTAGGTCAACCCCCAAGTGTTACAGACCTGCAGTTCCCAGTGAGGACGGTCCCTGAGCTGGATCCACCAGTACCCACCTGGAGCTCCTTATCACACAGAGCTGGGAAGCAGCATCCTTGAGCGCTGGCTCCCCTCCCCAGCAAAGACAGCAGAATTTAGGCAGAAATAGATCTTTAATGAACTATACAAAAAAAAAAAAAAAAGAGCCCAGTCCTTCCTTCCTTCTCCCCACCAGCTCCGGCGGGCTCAGCAGAAGAGGTGCAAGACTTTGCGGAAGAAGTTCCTGAACTCGGCGTTGAAGACGGTGTAGATGATGGGGTTGAGAGCACTGTTGACATAACCCAGCCAAGTGACGGTGCTGGTGACCTGCGTGGGGATGGTGCAGGACTTGCAGAGAGCCCTGGTGATGTGGACCACGAAGAACGGTGTCCAGCAGAAGAGGAAAGCACCTGCCGGAAGGACACGAGGGAGAGAGAAAACCATGGGAATGGGAAAAGAACCACAGCCTGGGCCAAACAGGGATGGAGCCAGCTCAGAGCAGGTGATGTGCTGACACACGGAGTGGGGATTATGCCCGGACAAAAAGAATGTCTTTCTTGTGCTAAATGTTGATGAAGGGTGTAAGTTTTGTATCATTTTGGATTTGCACTTAAGATAGCAGGAGTCACAGATTTGCCCTGAAGAAAAGGTGGGATTATAAACTGCTGGAAAGCAGCTCTGAGGAGAAAAACCTACGTGTCTTGGTGGACAACAGGATGCCCATGAGCTGAAAATGTGCCCTGGTGGCCAAGAAGGCCAAGGGCATCCTGGGGGGCATCAGGAAGAGTGTGAGCAGCAGGTGGAGGGAGGTCATCCTGCCCCTCTGCTCTGCCCTGGGGAGGCCCCAGCTGGAGCACTGGGACCAGTTCTGGGCTCCCCAGTTCCAGAAGGACAGAGAACTGCTGGAGAGGGGACAGCAAAGGGCTACAAAGATGATGAGGGGCCTGGAGAATCTCTCTGAACAGGAGAGGCTGAGGGACTTGGATCTTTTTAGTCTGGAGAAGAGAAGGCTGAGGGGGGATCTGATCAACACCTATAAATACTGAAAGGGTGGGTGTCAGGAGGATGGGGCCAGGCTTTTTTCAGTGGTGCCCAGGGACAGGACAAGAGGAAATGGGCACAAACTTGAATATAAGAAGTTCCATCTAAACATGAGGAGGAACTTCTTTCCTGTGAGGGTGGCAGAGCCCTGGCAGAGGCTGCCCAGAGAGGTGGTGGAGTCTCCTTCTCTGGAGACATTCAAACCCGCCTGGACACGTTCCTGTGGGACCTGCTCTGGGTGGACCTGCTCTGGCAGGGGGCTGGAGGAGATGATCTCCAGAGGTCCCTTCCAACCCCGTATGGTTCTATGATTCTGTAAACACTGTTCCATCCAAGGGCGGTGTTTGGTGGCACTAATCTGGCCCTAAGGGACACTGAGATTTTCACCTTCTCCTGCCAGGAGAGATGTGTCCCTCAGGAAGAAGGGGAGGGCGGGTGTTAAAACAAGTCCATGTGAGGGAGAGGGAGGAGGAGCAAAGACAAGGCACTGGGGAGGTGGCACAAGAGGGAGGTGGGTTTTATCCCCCATCTTCCCTCTTCCAGCAAGGGGAAAGCGTGGTTCTCAGCACTGCCCAAGCCGCCCTTCCTGGGCAGTGTCTCCTGCCAGGGCTCGGATTCTGTAAACACTGTTCTATCCCAAGGACAGTGTTTGGTGGCACAACTCCGGCCCTAAGGGACACTGAGATTTTCACCTTCTCCTGCCAGGAGAGATGTGTCCCTCAGGAAGAAGGGGAGGGCGGGTGTTAAAACAAGTCCATGTGAGGGAGAGGGAGGAGGAGCAAAGACAAGGCACTGGGGAGGTGGCACAAGAGGGAGGTGGGTTTTATCCCCCATCTTCCCTCTTCCAGCAAGGGGAAAGCGTGGTTCTCAGCACTGCCCAAGCCGCCCTTCCTGGGCAGTGTCTCCTGCCAGGGCTCGGTGAAGCTGGTGGTCGCTTTGCCAGGATCAACCAAGTCCTGCCAGGCTGAGCTCTTCCCCAGGACCAGGTCTCCTACCCTTCCCCAGGACCAGGTCTCCCACCCTTCCCCAGCCCTCACCCACGGCCACTCACCCACGACGACGGGCAGCACCCGCATGGCCTTGCGCTCCCGGCCGTTGATCTTGGCCCGCTTCCGACTGTGCCCCGGGTGGGGGTACTTGAGGTGTGGGTAGGAGACAGTCTGGATGCCATTGCTCATCACACAGTCCCCGGGGGGGTCAGAGCGGGCGTAAGGGTTGCACTCCTCCCCCTCCAGTCCCGTCTGCCCTCTCTCCGTGAGGGTTGAGGGGTGGTAGAGCTTCCTGTTGGCCCCGTAGATGCTGCCCCTGAGCTTGGCTTTCCTGGCTTCTTCCCAGCGCTTGAGTCCTTGGAACATGGCGCAGTAGAGCACCAGCATGACGGGGCAAGGGATGAAGAAGGAGCAGATGGAGGAGTAGACGATGTAGTTGTCATCCTCCAGCTGACACAAGCTGGGGTCCCGGTTCGGGACGTTGTTGAGGCCAAATATGACCGGGGACGCCACGGCAAAGGCGAAAATCCAGGTGGTGGAAATAAGGATCAACTGCCGCAGGTCGATTTGTCGCCGGTTGTAGTTCAGTGGGATTGAAACCGCGATAAACCTGCCAATACAGGTGAGTCAGTCCCAGTACGGTGGTGTCACCACTGGTAACATAAGCAAAGCTGCTTGTCCCTGTCCTTCCCCCCGTTAATTTACTGGCACAGCTTACAGCTGTGCCCCCTCTTTCCCAACCCGGCCTCAGAAGAGCACCCAAAGGGACAGCTCTGGCCTCATCACACCCAGCTTGGCCACCACGAGGGCACTGATGGGACACAAAACCAGTGATGGGGAGCTGGTAGGGCTGAACACCCTCCTTGGAGGGGAGCAGGATCCAGTCCCCCCTGGCTCCCCCTGCACGGGACCCTTGCAAGGGCATGTATGGACACAGCTTGATGCCAGGACCTGGCACGAGGAGGAGGAGGAGGAAGGCACTCACCGATCCACGCTGATAGCACAGAGGTTGAAGATGGAGGCCGTGCACAGCATCACGTCCATGGTCATCAGGGCATCGCACAGCACCGTGCTGAGGGACCACACGCCTCCCTGGAACTGAAAAGATCCCCAGGGTCAGCAGGTACCATGTCCCACCTCCGTTTCCCCTGCCCTTCCTCATGTCCAAACTGTGGCCAGTTTGTGTGTGTTACACAACGGTTCTGTTCCATCACGCCCCACACAAGGGCAGCTTCTTGAGGCTGCCTTCACACTCCTCTCCCATCGTCTCTCATTCCCTCTCTCCACACCTGCAGGCACCCGGGGCAAAGCAGAGGTGCTGCCAGCGAGAGGACGTGACCAGACGTGTCGTTGGTCGCTACTGCCTGGAAGCATCAACTCGGCTACACAAAAGGTACCAGTTTGAAAATCTACACTACTGCATCCCAAATAATCCTCAGGAAAAAAAAACCCCACCAAAGTGGACTGAAAACACCCCAGGTCTTTGCGGTTTATCAACACCAGCTTGAGGAACAGGAACACACGTGCAGCAGCGTGCGGGGAACCCGGCCGATGGCACGTGGGAGTGGAAGGAAAAGCTCAAGGAGCACACAAGTAAGTCAGCATTTGTTCAACCCTTCCTCAGCACCCGGCACCAAACGCTTGTCCAGGCCCTCCTGCATCCAAAGCTGATGCTCTGAACGTTGGGTTCCTTTCCTGGCACCAGGACAACTGCCTCGAGGATAGGACCGTAAACAGAATTTTTAGAAAAAATTCTAATTTTAGTGCAGAAAGAGAGGGTGCGTTTCTGTTTTTCCCTGAGAGTAAAAGAGGGGCTCAAACCCCTGCTCAGCTCAAGCTGAACCCCTGCATCCGAGATCAGCCACCAAGAGGCAGACCCAGCTCCCTGGGTCGGGCTGGTGTGAAGCTCTGTGCTCCCACCCCGCCGTGTGTGGGCTGCGAGCACAGCCTCCAATTTCTGGTCTCGTAAAAAACACTCAATTCCAGGCACAACAAACAAACCGAGCCTCTTGATTCTGCTGTAAGGATGTCTGGGGCCTGCCTGCTGTTCCTGTGCGGAGCGGGGCACCAGGCACTGCCCGGGAAGAAGGAGAGGTCAAGGTCTCCTACCCTTCCCCAGGACCAGGTCTCCCACCCTTCCCCAGCCCTCACCCACGGCCACTCACCCACGACGACGGGCAGCACCCGCATGGCCTTGCGCTCCCGGCCGTTGATCTTGGCCCGCTTCCGACTGTGCCCCGGGTGGGGGTACTTGAGGTGTGGGTAGGAGACAGTCTGGATGCCATTGTTCATCACACAGTCCCCGGGGGGGTCAGAGCGGGCGTAAGGGTTGCACTCCTCCCCCTCCAGTCCCGTCTGCCCTCTCTCCGTGAGGGTTGAGGGGTGGTAGAGCTTCCTGTTGGCCCCGTAGATGCTGCCCCTGAGCTTGGCTTTCCTGGCTTCTTCCCAGCGCTTGAGTCCTTGGAACATGGCGCAGTAGAGCACCAGCATGACGGGGCAAGGGATGAAGAAGGAGCAGATGGAGGAGTAGACGATGTAGTTGTCATCCTCCAGCTGACACAAGCTGGGGTCCCGGTTCGGGACGTTGTTGAGGCCAAATATGACCGGGGACGCCACGGCAAAGGCGAAAATCCAGGTGGTGGAAATAAGGATCAACTGCCGCAGGTCGATTTGTCGCCGGTTGTAGTTCAGTGGGATTGAAACCGCGATAAACCTGCCAATACAGGTGAGTCAGTCCCAGTACGGTGGTGTCACCACTGGTAACATAAGCAAAGCTGCTTGTCCCTGTCCTTCCCCCCGTTAATTTACTGGCACAGCTTACAGCTGTGCCCCCTCTTTCCCAACCCGGCCTCAGAAGAGCACCCAAAGGGACAGCTCTGGCCTCATCACACCCAGCTTGGCCACCACGAGGGCACTGATGGGACACAAAACCAGTGATGGGGAGCTGGTAGGGCTGAACACCCTCCTTGGAGGGGAGCAGGATCCAGTCCCCCCTGGCTCCCCCTGCACGGGACCCTTGCAAGGGCATGTATGGACACAGCTTGATGCCAGGACCTGGCACGAGGAGGAGGAGGAGGAAGGCACTCACCGATCCACGCTGATAGCACAGAGGTTGAAGATGGAGGCCGTGCACAGCATCACGTCCATGGTCATCAGGGCATCGCACAGCACCGTGCTGAGGGACCACACGCCTCCCTGGAACTGAAAAGATCCCCAGGGTCAGCAGGTACCATGTCCCACCTCCGTTTCCCCTGCCCTTCCTCATGTCCAAACTGCCCCAACGCCCCGCTGGCAGAGGACACGGCCAGTTTGTGTGTGTTACACAATGGTTCCGTTCCATCACACTCCACACAAGGGCAGCCTCTTGAGGCTGCCTTCAAGCTCCTCTCCCATCGTCTCTCGTTCCCTCTCTCCACACCTGCAGGCACCCGGGCAAAGCAGAGGCGCTGCCAGCGAGAGGACGTGACCAGACGTGTCGTTGGTCGCTATTGCCTGGAAGCATCAACTCTGCTGCACAAAAGGTACCAGTTTGAAAATCTACACTACTGCATCCCAAATAATCCTCAGGAAGAAAAAAAACCACCAAAGTGGGCAGAAAATACCCCAGGTCTTTGTGGTTTATCAACACCAGCGTGCGGAACAGGAACACGCGTGCAGCAGCGTGCGGGGAACCCGGCCCATGGCACGTGGGAGTGGAAGGAAAAGCTCAAGGAGCACACAAGTAAGTCAGGATTCGTTCAACCCTCCCCCAGCACCTGGCACCAAACGCTTGTCCAGACCCTCCTGCATCCAAAGCTGATGCTCTGAACGTTGGGTTCCTTTCCTGGCACCAGGACAACTGCCTCGAGGATAGGACCGTAAACAGAATTTTTAGAAAAAATTCTAATTTTAGTGCAGAAAGAGAGGGTGCGTTTCTGTTTTTCCCTGAGAGTAAAAGAGGGGCTCAAACCCCTGCTCAGCTCAAGCTGAACCCCTGCATCCGAGATCAGCCACCAAGAGGCAGACCCCTGACACCCTCCACATAACGCGAGGCAGGTGCCGAAACCCCTGTCCCCGCCAGGAAGAGGCAGCTCCAAGGGATTAGTACCAGCAGTAATGATGTCACGCTCGGGATTATGACTTAGCGGGGCTGTAAAGCCAAAGCAGACTCTGAAGAAAGTGGCTATTTTTATATAGCCGTCTCCTTGAGAGGGGGCCCCAGGGAATGTTTTCTCCAGCCTTTTCTCCGGCACGGATCAGCCACCCCAAAGTGAATTTGGGAGCCGAATCATAAAAAACAACCCTCAATTTTTTGCCAAGCTCACCGGGATCCTGACAAATTCAGTTCAAATTATGAGAGAGAGAAAATTTGATTCTGGGCTACAGTTTTCCAAACCTGTTTGTGATTTTGGGGAACTAATTGGTTCTGAAAAGGACACGAGCTCTCGGGCTGCGGCACCTTCAGAGGACACAACCTTTGCCGTGAGATTCGAGTTGGGCGCTCGGAAAATGCTACAAACTCTTCCCTTTCCCCACCAATCCCCAAGACTCTGACTCTGGGGAAGGTGCTGGGAGAGGACCAGCCATTCCACCGTGGTTCTGGCACTCTGACAAAAAAAAGGTCGCCTGGCAAGAAATAAGATGAGGTTGGCAGCCCCCTCAGCTGTCTGAGGGGCTTTTTTTTGAACGTATTTCATAGAATCACCGACTGGTTTGGGTGGGAAGGGACCTTAAAGCCCATCCAGTGCCACCCCCTGCCCTGAGCAGGGACACCTCCCACCACACCAGGTTGCTCCAAGCCCCCTCCAACCTGCCCTTGAACCCCTCCAGGGATGGGGCAGCCACAACTTCCCATACAACGTGCTCCGGCCTCACCCAGCGCTGCTTCCTGGGGGGGAATAGACGGATGCTAAATACCAGGCTCTGGTTTTATTCATGCAAAACGTGGGTGACACTCTCCACATAACACAGGGCAGGTGCCGAAACCCCTGTCCCCGCCAGGAAGAGGCAGCTCCGGGGGATTAGTACCAGCAGTAATGATGTCACGCTCGGGATTATGACTTAGCGGGGCTGTAAAGCCAAAGCAGACTCTGAAGAAAGTGGCTATTTTTATATAGCCATCTCCTTGAGAGGGGGCCCCAGGGAATGTTTTCTCCAGTCTTTTCTCCGGCACGGATCAGCCACCCCAAAGTGAATTTGGGAGCCGAATCATAAAAAACAACCCTCAATTTTTTGCCAAGCTCACCAGGATCCTAACCAATTCAGTTCAAATTATGAGAGAGAGAAAATTTGATTCTGGGCTACAGTTTTCCAAACCTGTTTGTGATTTTGGGGAACTAATTGGTTCTGAAAAGGACACGAGCTCTCAGGCTGCGGCACCTTCAGAGGACACACCCTTTGCCGTGAGATTCGAGTTGGGCGCTCAGAAAATGCTACAAACTCTTCCCTTTCCCCACCAACCCCCAAGACTCTGACTCTGGGGAAGGTGCTGGGAGAGGACCTGCCATTCCACCGTGGTTCTGGCCTGCCCACCTTAGCAAAATGTGCCACAGTCCTCTCTGGGGGGTGAGTGACTTTGGATTAGAGGCAATAGCTGGCTTTGCTGGGCCGTGTGATTAAGGGGTACCTAATTACAGGAGGCTGTGGAAGATTAGCCCATCAAGGTACACTGTGTAAAGCTTTAGGGATCAGAAACAGCTCGAGCTGCCTCTAAGAAGGGCTCCAGAGCAACTCTACTTCCACTGGTGTTTTGTGTTCTCTGCTTTTTCAGCACGAGACCCCTTTGCTGGTGCTGTGGCCACCACGAAGCAGATGCTGGCAGGCAAGGCGGCTGCCCTAACAGAATAAAACGAAGCAGCAAATACAACCCCACCAGCCAGTCTGCCTGCGGTGGCCTCTCTGAGACTGCTGAAACGCTCTGCACGGCTCTGGTGAGGTGAGGTTGGCTGAACAGGAGCCAGCAGTGTGCCCAGGTGGCCAAGGGGGCCACCAGCATCCTGGCCTGTGTCAGGAACAGCGTGGGGAGTAGGACTCGGGAGGTGATGGTCCCCCTGTACTGGGCACTGGTGAGGTCCCACCTTGAGGGCTGTGTCCAGTTTTGGGCCCGTCACCACAAAAAAGACATTGAGGAGCTGGAGTGTGTCCAGAGAAGGGCAACGGAGCTGGTGAGGGGTCTGGAGAATAAGTGTGATGAGGAGAGGCTGAGGGAGCTGGGGGTGTTCAGCCTGGAGAAGAGGAGGCTGAGGGGAGACCTCACTCTCTCTAGCTCCCTGAAAGGAGGGTGTAGCCAGGGGGGGTCGGTCTCTTCCCCCAAGGAACAGGTGATGGGACAAGAGGAAATGGCCTCAAGTTGTGCCAGGAGAGGTTCAGATTGGAGATTAGAAACAATTTTTACACGGAAAGGGTTATTGCACATAGGCCCCATCCCTGGAGGGATTTAACAGACGGGTTGACACAGTGCTTAGAGCCATGGTTTCGTGATGGTTTTTATCAGAGTCAGGTTGATGGGGACTAGATGATCTTAAAGGTCCCTTCCAACCCAGACAATTGATTCTATGATTCTATAATATGAACCACTGCGCTGGAAACGTGCAGGTATCACCCCTGGGAAGAAGATGGAGAACTTGATGTGTGTGGCAGGGGGGGACATGCTCTGCCCTTGGCTCGGAGCGCTGTGGCAAACATGAGGGTTTATAGGGAAGGGATAAGGATCGCTGTGCTGGCCACAAGCTACATCTTCTTCAAAGCCACATTCCAGGTGCTGGTGAACTCCCCTGTGGCCACTGCGGCCTCTCACAAGACACCAAGATCTCACTGCAAACGGCCCTTTGGGTTCTGGCTCAGGCACCGTGTGCAGGGGAGGAACAAATCCAGCTGCTTCTTACCAAGAAGTTACGGAAAAGATTGTATAGGCTGGTGGGAGACAAGACTCGACTTCTCCAGCACCCTTGCAGGTTGCCTTCTGTCAGGTCATTTTGACGTCCCTATTCCTCAGCACAGCTCATTTGTAAGAAAATATTCTGCCTTCTTGCAAACGGGCCTGAGGCCAGAAGAGTTCTTACACCTGAGGGGACAGGCCAGGACAGGGCCCAAGGTTTTAGTCTCATTTCCCAGGATATCAGCTCTCGTCTCACGCTTCTGCACGGCACCACACGCTGAGAAGCAGAGGCCACAAAGAGATCTTTTGGTGGGGTGGCATCCCCAATGAGATAACCCAGCAACGGCAGCCCCGGAGGAGATGCCCAGCTGGATTTCCCAACAAGGCCTCAGCGTGGCTGTGGCTCAAGCGCAGGGCAGGGAGAGATGGAAAGTGCTAATCCAGAGAGGCCAGGCCTGCTGAGAAGGTTATGACACCAATCAGAAGAATAATAATCCTCGCAAGTGGGCAAAGTCCAGCACCAGAGACAAAGAATCGTCCAAATGCCCACAAGAAGCTGACTTTCACGAGCCGTGACGACTGTTGCCTTCTCCAGAAGACACAAGGCAGCCTGCAAGGGGAGAGGGAGGAGGACACAAGCCAAAGGTGGCCTCACGTCTGCTCCAACATCCTTTCTTGACTTAAATCATTGAGGTCAAGGTTTTTCAGCAATGACAGGTGACTTTGATCATCCACTTGAAATACTATGGAGGCCCAAAATTCAAAGGCACGTCCCTCCCGTTGTTGGTCGCTGAAAATAAAGCCCTCAGCACTGGTTTCTCGTTGGTGGCCCGTGTCACCTCCCCGGTATTTTGTGCAGAGACCACGTGGCTCAGACATCAGTTCAGGCCTGGAAGGACATCTATTTCCACTACAGCTGTAAGAATCCAGGAAAAGCTAATCTTGAATATCACTGCAGAAAGGATGCCAGGCGTTCACAGCCAGCCACAGAATTTGGAGGAGGGTCTGATTTCTCTCCTCAGAAATGCCCCACCACAGGCATCACACACACACAGAAGATGCTGCAAAAAAAAGAGATCTTCTGATACTGACGCTCTGAAAGCATTATGCAGAACAGCATCATCTCCACCAAGAAAACAGCTCGTGCTCTATCGCTCAGAGGATCTGTGAGGCAGAGCCTGCTTGGAGAGACACATCTTCCCTGACCTGGAGAAGGAGCAGGTAAACACACAGATCTGCTAAACCTGCTTCATCTTTTTTTTTGTGATCAATTACCCAGACCTCAGAGGCCAAGATGTTTCTATGAGGATGTTTTTCCTCAGCCCCTGCCCATGGCTCCCAGCCC